GGGTCTGCAGTCGGTGAGTCGGAGTTCATGTACATTTCAGTTTAGAGCTTAGCTGGTATGTTCATTGACACTTGATGGTCTGAGTAGTCACTGGACTGAACTGGGTTGCTGAAACTCGGCGTCACCGGAGATGGGGTCTTGCAAAAGATGCTGGCTGGGCTATCACTGGAGAAGCATGTATGTGAAACCCACTTCTAATCACTCAATAATGAAGCAAAAAATATGATACCCCTCGGATTCGGACACGGGTTGATCAAGCCCAAGCCCGAACTCGAGGGAAATATCAAACAATTAAAGTATTTTAAATGAACACAGATTACAAAACTGAATATGAAATAATTAAAAACTGAAAGAAATCTAAAATAGAATCCTTTAAAAATTAATAACTTAAAATCCAAAACCTCCAATAGTTTAAACAATTCGGGAATCCATCCATTGGACCCCTAATACGAAAATCCAAACTAAAGTAAAACTAAAGTATAAACAATAAAAACATCCAAAATGAAACCATGGAGAGAAGTCCTACGTCGTCGTAAGAGTGAATAGAAATCTCTGTTCAGCACGATCAGGTCTAAGTCTGGAACTGACGAGTACCTGAAAAATAAAAGTGGGTCAGGCTCACAAACAAGTTCTATCCTACTACAATCCAAGCAGAGACTCGATACGCATATACATTCTAACCAACTCAACAATATCTATATAGTCCGTATATATTTATATATCCACACTACAGGACTCTCTCTGGACTATGCAGGGGGTCTCAACTTGAGTAGAAGACAACATGCAAATCGCACCTGAGTGGGCATGAGTACCTAAGCCTAACAGGGTATACCTCAACCTAGCATATCCAGCTACGCATCCTACTGCATATACGTTCCCTAACCGATGACTTTGAGACTCAAGCTCATATCGCGGTACCATAAAAATATATTTAAAGTCTTCCTATCCATCCAAAGTAAGTCCAGTTAATCATTCAGCTTGTACAGCTTCTTTAACTTAACATAGTAGCAAGTAATCCAATTAGTCATTCAATTTGTGCAGCTTCTTTGACTTAATTATAAGTAGGATTTCATTTATATAATCCGTTCCCTTATTCCAATATAGGTAGGATTTAGCAATTTGAGCTAATCCAAACCTAGACATGCCACCGTCCCATACCGGTTCATGCCATCCATCATTTAGCAGTTGACAATACAACCATATATGTAAATACCAACTATTCCATAAAGTCCACGATTGATAACAATATATTAAATATAGGCATCAATTGTTCCATATTAAGCATGATAAAATTTTATAAATTAACAGGCTTATACATATTATTTTTCAAGATCCAATAATTGACTATACATATCATGCATATGAACATCAATTAATTCAAAGTTAGCATAACAGAATATATAAATTCACATGCTTACTTTTTATACCAAACCAACACTAAATAAAATAAGTCGTTAACTGATAACCGTCATTTAAATCCGTAGCCAGCAGTAGTTAAATTTACGCATGCTTATTCCTACCACTGTTTCATATTTAGCAGGGTGTAACCATCCATAGTAAACTGCTAAATTAATCATAAGTAATTAAAACTTTGCATCTCCAATAACAGTATCCAGATTTGCATGTAACAATTTATGTAATGTTTCACTGTAAACCCTAGTGTTTTAATACACATCAACCAACCCTTGGAAATTTTAATATGGCCTTGGAACATACTGAAAACCCCTAATATACCTCTTAACAGAATCTGAAAATCCCAAAATCCAAGCCTCGTAGCCCAAACTGTCGCCGAAAAACCAAAAAAAAAAGAGAAAATTGGAGAAAGCCTGCTCTCTAACACTTGGAGCCGTCTCCCCACCATGGGGAGCCACCTCCGTGGTCTCTAGAGCCGGCTCCCTCCTTGAGGGAGCCTGCTCCCTTCCAACGGGAGCCGGCTCTCCTTTTGTTCTTCGTCTCTTCCAACTCCGGCGGTTTTCCACCGGTCTGCCCTCCATTCCTAAGATACTTAGATGTTTAAACTAAGTCACAGCAGGTTCCTAAACCCATTAAATTCCTTGTTCAATTACCAACATCAATTTAACATGAATTATGCATAAAGAACTTAACCCGGCCCGTTAACTAATCAAGAACACGTACTATTTTAAGACGTTCAACCAAGCGAACCAGATTAATTCTAATGTTTCCCCATGTGTTTCAGAATTAGTAAAATTCATTATTCATCAACTGACATCAATTTAAGTCATGAATTATGGACAAAGAATGTAAAACAAGAAGTTAATAGTTCATGAACACATATAGATACAGACAATGCAAACATGCGTAATAAATTGATTTTAATCTTTCTCTGTTCCTGGAATTGAGTTAGACATGCAAAGAACACGAGCCAAAGGGAAGGAGTTAGGATTAGAACTTGCCTTTAGGTCTTAATCCGAAACCTTACACCGACGTCTTCCTCAATTCTCCGATGAACGTTTTGTTTTCCCTCTCTATTTTCTCTTAGACTTCTCTAAACGTCTCTTTGCCTTCACTATATCGTGAATAGGGTTCTAAAACCCTAGGCAGAACCTTAATATACGTATTTATAGGCATATAGGTTTACCCTAATTCTAGTCTTAATACTAAACGGGAAACTAAGTCGGCTAACCGTGAAATATATCAAACCCTAAACTGACTTACTTGGCCCATAAACAAAACTTAATTTGCAAGTATGTGTGCTAACAATTAATACAGCCATGATAAATAATCAAAACAGTTGAATTCAACTTAAACCAATAAATCACGTAATGCAATTAAATAGTTAAAGCACCAATTAAATATAAACAATTAAATAATTATTAAATACAATTAAACCATTAAATCAAACCAAATAATAAAACAGTTAAATAATTAAGCCAAGACGCAATTAATCACCCAAAATAAAAATAATAAATAAAATGACGAGACTATCCTTTTAAAATTAGGGGTATTACAAAAAATGAGAAAATAAATCCAAAGAAAGTGAATATTGCTTGTGGAAATAGAAAGAGAGAAAGAGAGAAAGAGGGCCGCAAAAAAGAAAAACTCAATATAAAAAAATGCAAACCCAGTTTAAGAGTGCCCCTATACCCGTCATCCTCACCGTAGTCCTCGTCGTTTCGTTTCACCACCGAGAACACCTTGCTCGGATGACAGAGAAGACTGTAACTGTAGCAGGTGTGGTAGCAGTTAGCCGCCGTCGGCCGCTGCTCCGGGTTGTGTTCCAGACACCAGTTCTGGAACTCTCTAAGTAATTTGGGCACACCCACCAACCCACATGTCTTCACAAGCTGACTCACACCCCACACATCTACCTTCACCCCATGCAAACCCTTCCCCATCTCCGGCGCGTGCCTCCCGCTTTTCGCCACCACTGCCGCCACCCCACCACCACCTCCGTGTGGGTACAACTGCGGCGCACTCACCGCTTCATCAAACCCAGTCATGAACCACTCGTTCTCTCTCTCACTACTCATCATCACCTTGTCCTACCCCAAGTCCCTCTGCATGAACGAATGGTCATGCAATGCAACCAATGCCTTTGTCACGTGCCTCAGAGCCTGTACTAGTTGGTCACAATTAGCCGGCTTGAATTTGCACCCTCTGGGCTTAAACACCAATGCCAAATAAGTCTTCGATGACCGGACGATCACTTCGGCTTGTGGGATTCTACTGTCAACAAGAAGAAAAAAAAATTCAAGTAAACATGGTTGCCGGGGAGCTGTTGGGGACAGAGGGGAGAGAGAGTGGGCTTGTCGGCAGTGGCACGGCCATGGTAAACTAGAAGGAAAAAAAAAAAAAAAAATCTTAAAAAGGGTACTATTGGTATTTTACATGCATGATATTTTTTATTTTTTAATAAATTAATAAGGGTAAATTAGTAATTTTACTCTTTCCATTAACACCATCGATTTACAGGGGAGGTCAGTGTAATTTGACAAATAAAAGGGGATATCTGTGTAGGTTGACAAAACCTCAGGAGAAGTCAGTGTAATTTACTCTTAATTTTTTTATCTCTGTAATTAAAGATCAGAAGCTTCAATATTACAAAGATTAAACATGATACATAAGTTTATTTTTTTTTATTTGCATAATAATTCATTATATTTGAAAATATATTTAGAAAATTATTAAGAAAATTAATACTTAATAATATACTAATTAATTATATGGAACTCTCTCAAGATTATTAATTAACAACAACAGAGATGACTAGTAGTAGAAAAGAGTGAAAAAATATATTATATTGCGAATCAACATATGAAATTAGGAGAAGGATATGATGATAATAATTTAGTTGATGAATTTCCGGAAATATATATATATAATTAATATATTGTTGGATAACTCTACTACTTAAGTCTTATTTTTTTATTTTTTTTGGGTGAGAAGAATATTCTATTGGTTAATACCTGCATGTGCATTTTCATACTCCGGTTGTTATTAATGGTGCAACTCATGAAGATAATATAAAAGCATAAAACATTCAACTCAATTCCAAACGGAAACCTTAATCCAAATTCATCAACTCACGTTAAAATTTTTAATATCGGGTTAAAAAAATTAGGCTGAAAATCACGTCAACATCCGGTTTGGTTTTATCCTATGCATATAAAATTTTAAAATTTTAATTCAAAAAAAAAAAAATATATATATATATATATATATATACATATCAAATAAGCAAATCCTTAAGATACTAAATTTCTAAATATTAATGTACAATAAATCAAGTTATAAAGAATAGGAAAGAAAAAAAAGTTTATCACATTACGTATTACTACGTAGAAATTACAAATATATAATTTGAAAGAGAAGTTGAAATTGGGCTTGAGTTTGATGGCAGTTCAATTTAAACGTGGCCCAAATTTAAATTGGGGTTCACAACTTTCAAATGAACTTTGGACATCAGTCCGGGTACACCAATTGTTAATCGGGTTTTGACCCGATATGCGTTATAAGACAATACCGGGCCGTCCCCTTCACTTCCCTCTTCAAAAACCCTCGTCCCCTGTACTTGATTCAAAACCCATCTCCTCAGGCTCCTTCGTAAACCAAAGAGAGAGAGAAGATGAAGATAGAAGAGGTTCAATCCACAACAAAGAAGCAGAGAATCGCTACTCACACCCACATCAAAGGTCTTGGTCTTGAGGTAATTCGCACTGTTCTTTCTCCCTCTCTCTCTCTATATGTATACACATACATGCATAATTACATATATGACTATATTACTCTACTTATCTTTGATTTCTGGATGCCCTTTTTCATCTATCGAATTTTTATTTTCTGTTTCTCGATTGCTATTTCATTTTATGCGTTTTTCTTTCTTTTTTGTGGGGGTTCGGAAGGGTTTTAGGTTATATTATGGGTTTTGTACTTTTTTTTCCCTCTTTGGATTGTCACTGAACCACATTTTTTTAAAATTCTTTTGACATTCCAGAGGTTTGATTGCATTTGTCCTATTGGGTCTTCTGGGTCTTTGGCTATATATATATGTATGTGTGTGTGTGTGTACGGACTCTATTCATCAAGTATTCGTCTTCGTTTTATTGATCAATTGGTGAAAAAAATTCTGGCTTTTTAGTTCGGACTCTTTTCTAGGCCAATGGAAGGGCAATACCTTTAGTAATCATGCATTCATCAACAAATGGTAATTTTTTTCTGGGGTTTTGGTTGGACTCTTTTATAGGCCAATGGAAAGGCAATACCTTTGGCAGCTGGCTTTGTGGGTCAGGCTGCAGCAAGAGAAGCTTCAGGCCTTGTGGTTGATATGATAAGGCAAAAAAAGATGGCGGGCCGAGCTCTTCTGCTCGCTGGACCCCCTGGTACTGGGAAGACTGCACTTGCCCTGGGAATATCTCAAGAGCTCGGTAGCAAGGTACTTCCTTACATTTTTACTTCTTATTTTTATTGTTTTAATTGATTTCTTTTTATAATTGTTGTTCATATTAGCATATTTAACTTGTAATGTTTCTATCGACCAAAACAATTTGTCATGTTTCTCAATGGGGACTATCAGTTGGCATCTTAGGGTTGGATCTTGAGTTAATTTCTACTTAAGATTGATTATGTCTCAGGTTTTTCTTCAACGTGTAAAATTCATTTATTTATTTATTTTTATATCAAAAGGTTCCATTTTGCCCAATGGTTGGCTCAGAAGTGTATTCCTCAGAAGTGAAGAAAACTGAGGTTTTAATGGAAAATTTCAGACGTGCCATTGGTCTACGTATCAAGGAAAATAAGGAGGTTTATGAAGGAGAGGTAAGTTACCTTTATCAAGCTTCTTAGTTAATTGGTCGAGTTGTTTTTCCCCCTTCTTTTGGTGCGTATCATTGTAATCTTATAGTCTGTCACAGTTCATGATGTGTTAAAAAGCTCGTTGTGTTTTAGGTGACTGAACTCTCCCCAGAAGAAACTGAGAGTATGACAGGTGGTTATGGAAAGAGCATTAGCCATGTAATTATTGGGTTAAAAACTGTAAAAGGAACCAAGCAGCTGAAGTTGGACCCAACTATTTATGATGCCTTGATTAAGGAAAAGGTTAGTTGCTTTATATGCTTGTTTCTTGTTTATAAATGAGAGTTTTAGTTCTTGTTTTCATTAACTTTTTATTTCAGTTTAGTAAATCTTCGAGAAGCTTTTATGTACAAATTCTGCCTAAAAATCAGCCATGTAATGTTGCATATTGTGAGAGGGATCTCTAGGATGGGGGTCAAATCACTTTTGGTCCCCAGAGGTACTGCATGTTCAGAGTGAAAATTGCGCAATGGTTTCTTGATTTCTTTAATATCTTGCTATGTTTCTGGTAAAAATGCAGGTAGCTGTTGGTGATGTTATATACATTGAAGCCAATAGTGGAGCAGTAAAAAGGGTTGGTAGGAGTGATGCATTTGCTACAGAATTCGATCTTGAGGCTGAAGAGTATGTTCCACTACCTAAAGGAGAGGTTCACAAAAAGAAGGAGATAGTTCAGGTTTGTTTCAATGAACTTTGGGCTTGTTATGTATTCTATGTTTCATTGTTGATATGATGAGCTCTGATGGTAAGTCCATTACAAGCCTTGATATGTGCCATTTAGTGGATTGCAACTTATAGTTCTTCTGTTACTTGTAGATTGATTATTTTGATTAATAATTAGGATTCCCCAACCCACCCCACCCCACCCCAAAACAACCCAAACACAAACGCCCACACCCCCCCCCCCCCCCCCCCCCCCCCCCAGCCGCATTGATCAATGACTCCATTATGCTTCTGCTGACCGCTTGGGAACTCTGCATTTCCAAGAGCATATTATTGCTGTGAGAATTAAATGTTTCTGATATTGGATTTTAATAGAATATGGATTCAAGTTGCATATGCAATTTATTGATTTTAAGGAGAAATATATATCTGAAAGGTTTTAAGCTGCACAAAAAGTTTTACATGAACTGCAATTGCTACAATTACAAATCTGGATTTTAGGCTGTACCTCCACCCAAAGTTAGTATTCGCTTGAGATTTTTGCTTATCACATAGGTTAGAGTTGCCTCCATTTTATATGCTGGTATTGTATTCTATGTGTTGGTGAGTTCTAGATGAATTGTGTTCATCTTATGATGTAAATAGCTTAACACTTGGTAGTATTCTGCATATAAGTTTGTTGTGCTTGAGGTTAGGAAAGAATGGATGAGATCTCTCCAATAACTTTCCTGCTATAACCTCGGAATTAGACAAAATTTAGCGTCTGTTTTGATAATATATGTTATGTGGTTGTTCTGAGATGGATTTTTATTTTATCTATGATCTTCTTTTGCCAATATAATTTCACCTTTACAAGATGGTAGAGATGAGGTTCTGGAGATTTAAATAATCACTCTCTTTTGGCTTAGTAGGATGTTACACTACATGATCTGGATGCTGCAAATGCACGGCCTCAAGGCGGACAAGACATATTGTCTCTCATGGGTCAGATGATGAAGCCCAGGAAAACAGAAATTACTGACAAGTTACGACAAGAGATAAATAAGGTACTAATTCATAAATCTGTAAGATATATTAATTGCTTAATTTATTTATTCATTTCACGTATATAGACAAAACATGATTGATGAGTGAGATAACAAATTACATGGATTTCTGATTATTTTCAGTGAACCCATTTACAATTGAACTTTTGATTGGCAAATTATTCGGAAATAGTGCTAATGATTTCTTTATAATTTAGGGAAATCCCACATTTTATTCGAGTTCCAAGATGAATCGAACAATAATAATTTTATTTTTTTCCTTTTGCCTCGAAATTCTGTCCTTCCAACATAACCTGGCTACTGTAGTTCACAAATATTGAACTTGTAACCATGGGGATCATGTATTTTTTCCCTTATCAAAACCCCCTTTTCTCCCATGGCAGACACTGCCCATGAATATAAGGCAGATTCATTCGCTAACTGAAAATCTTGCCCATACAGGTTGTTAACCGTTATATTGACGAAGGTGTCGCAGAGCTCGTTCCTGGAGTCTTATTCATAGATGAGGTCAGTTTTAAATTTAATCTTTCATGTCCTGTTATGTAATGATTACTTCAGTGGTTTGTTTGTTCATAGCACACTACTATTCACAGGTACATATGCTGGATATGGAGTGCTTTTCATACTTGAATCGCGCTTTAGAGAGCTCACTATCTCCAATAGTAATTTTTGCCACAAACAGAGGAATATGTAATGTAAGGTATGAAGCTCTACTTCATCAGATGTTCAGAAACTTGGGACTACTGTGAATTAGTATATATTAGGGTTTGTAATTTTTTTTTTTTGGTAATTAAATAAATTGTATTAACAAAAGAAACCTTTACAGTTTACAGAATATCAGAGAGGCATATATCCTCTTAAAAAACTCAAGCAAAGACAACTGTGATAGAAAATGCAAACTCAGCCTAGACACAAAATTTAAGACTAAGAAAATTGAATCTGGAAGCCTCCACTCCCTCTGAATCCATCTGCTTGACTGTGGCAGGCACATTTGATATGTATTGAAAAGCTTCAATCTAACTACTTCAAAATTCCCCTCTGGATAGTGGAGATATCCTTGTATTCATTGGTGAATACAGAATAATCAAGGGTACACAATAAAGAAAATATGTTAGCATCTAACAAACATGGGACAAAACCATGATTTTATAGTTTTTCAGTCAAGTGCTCACCTGCCTTCATGAGAAGCTGTCAAGAAAGCTACACTTGTTGGCTTTGACCAGAGGAGCTTCTTCAAAAAGTACATTTGTGCATTTTTAGTCAATTGTATTAAACATCTTTCAATTCATAAATTTTCATGTTTTCCTTTGGGGGAGTAGGTAATTAGTGACTTGCGCATGAATTTGTGACTTGCGCATGAATTTGATCGCTTAGATATAAACTGAATGAATTATTTTTGTAAGTCGTATCAATGACTTTCAAGTATATTAAGTTTTGTGGAAGCCAAAGAATTTAATGTGTCTCCTGGAACATGCCTACCGGGTTTTCCTCGAGCCCTAACCACATATGATGTCCTAATGATCTCCTGATATTTGAATTTGAATTTGTGAACTTTGCAGAGGAACAGATATGACCAGTCCTCATGGCATACCTGTCGACTTGTTAGACCGATTGGTGATTATACGGACTGAAACTTATGGTCCAGCTGAAATGATACAGGTTCACGCCGTATTCTATTCAAATTTTGTTGTATGTATTATCTATTTCATCCTTTAAACATATAACCAATGTTATTGATACATGTGCTTTTTGATGTTTGGCCAGATTTTAGCCATCCGTGCACAGGTTGAAGAGCTGACTGTAGATGAGGAAAGTTTGGCTTACCTTGGAGAAATTGGACAGCAAGCATCTTTAAGGTCCACTTCTCCCCTCCTCTTCTAGTTTTCTCTTACAAGGTGCATCTCCCCCTCAATAGTAATTTCAAATCCATCTTCCTGTTTTCTCAGGCATGCAGTTCAGCTCTTATCGCCTGCCAGCATTGTGGCTAAAATGAATGGCCGGGACAGTATTTGCAAGGTAATTATTTTGGTATTCTTCTGTATATGTGCATCTAAGATTGGTAAGGGACGTTTTATTATTTCATTCTGCAAGTGAGTATATATATGTCTGTTGCAATTTGCAGGCGGATCTTGAAGAAGTCTGTTCCCTATATCTGGATGCCAAATCTTCCGCAAAGCTTCTTCAAGAGCAGCAGGATAGATACATATCATAATGAACTGAACCCAACCCTTCCGGTGCATGATTACTGTGGCTGAAAACAGTAATTCATTCAGATATATTACCTACGGATGGGATGCTATTGAAATGCTAACCGGCATTGAATTTAAAATTTAATCCAGGACATGGCCACCACTCAACTTCTACTCCATCATGTTTTCAGGGGGCTCTCGAATGCCAATGTTTCTCCGGAGGCCGTAGTTTGAATTCTGAAGTGGTTTTGGTGTTTGCTAGTTCTTACAATTGGCTTCTTTGTCCATGTAGTGGTTTTGAATGGGTAGTTAATGGATTTTCAGTGACGAGAACTACATTATGTAATCGGGGTGGATTCCAAGAGTACAAGACTGTTACTCCCATGTAGATTTAATTTCGGTTAACGTTAAAGTTCATACTTATTTAATATAGCATTTGCTTTGTAAGAATCAATGCAGAAAATGTTTGTGCATCTTTTTAATTCCTTTTCCTTTAGAGTACACCAAAAGTTTACTGTATCAAAAATTCATTTATATGGTTGTATACAAAGCAAATTAAGGGCATGAATTTGATATTAGGATATTAGGTTTCTTTGCAAACCTTTTCGAGTACTAATTTAGTGGACAATTGGTCCAAGATGCTCATGTCCTCTGGATAGCATTGCAACATATCAACAATAGAAAGTGAAGACTGACTTCTACTTTAGATGCGTGCTTAACCAGGGTGATCTTGTATGAAAGTCTAAATTTTTTGAAAGCTAAATAAAATTATATCATGTCATTTACATATATATTTTATATATTTTTATTTATTTAAATCCATATCCAAATATATTCATTATTATTTATGATATATGTAATAAATGAGGTAATTATTTTTTACTTGCCTGATTTATTTGTAATATTCTCCGATTAAGAAGTTTTTTAGTACTATATTTTCAAACATGTATAATTAATATATATTAGTTATATAGCAATGCGATACAACTGGAGCACAAGTAAAGTTTAAATAATTAATATATATATTGAATAATAGCGTAACTAATAAATACATATATAGTAATAAAATTGAATTCCCCGATTTTGTACAAAGCGTGCGAAGCTTGAGAGCAGCCAAAGACTTTGGACGAATGGTGCTACTTAGCACCCGTCACAAAAGGAAAAGCATGGGTCGAGTCATGGGCTTGAATCTCAATCAGGTCAAACCTGAGCCTAGAGAGGCAACATGTCAAGACACTGCCATTAAGAGGGTTTAGTGACTTCAATTGCAAGGTTGATGCAAGTCCCCACCAGGATAATTGGGTGGGGGTACATATATATATATATATATATATAGTGGGACCAGAATTTGATTAATGGCACAGGATCAAATGTTGCTCTCCTCCACTCCAATGACAAAGAAGCTTAAATTATGAAGACAAGGAGACAATTCAGTGTTAAGAAAATAAAGAGATGCTCCTCGTGATCAGAGACTTTCATTATATTACTCGGAGTTAAATACAACAATTTTGAATATTCGGTTTATTTGCAAATAAATAAAACGAACCTCTCCTTTAAAAAAAAAAAAAAAAAATTGTAAACAAGCCTGTCAAATCAAGCTCAATTTTTTTTTTTTTTTTTTTTTACCTCTCCAGAAGCATCACCAGTTCACAGTGCGGAGTATGAGGAAAAAGATCAACAGCCATAGCTTTGATGGGTTGGAAAGGCTCTGAGTTGGGCATAGACTTGGCCCTATGCCGCGCCAGCCCAGCGCTGCTCATGTTCCTCCATCCCCTGTTGTTCTTGTTCCCCTTTTCAGATTGATCAGCAGATGGTGTACAGAGTTCAATAGCATTTGCTACTAAGCTTTCAGGATTACAGGAAATGTAACTGAAGAAAAATTAAAAAAAAAAACTAGTAAGATTTTGGGAAAGAGAATATCTTAACAAAACAAGGAATAAAACTAGGCAACATGAGAACTTACACGAGCCTTCGTAGACCAGGATGTGTTCTAAGAGCTTTGATTACCTGCATTCACACAAAATAAGAATCAGTAATAAACAGTTCATGCATTTAGAGTCGGTGACCCAAATTTAAGATTCCAAACAAGAAGCTTAAACACAGGAATAATGAAACTACATGAGCATCGAGGTTCCTGTACTTTTTGATAGCAATATCAGGGTTTAAAAGTAAACGAGAACCACTACAAGGCCATTCCATTTAACTCCATAGTGCACACAGGAGATCTTCAAAGAAGTGTAGAGACAGTATTATGCAAAATTCAGAGGAACCAATCTCATGGGTGATGGGTGAATCATGCACTTGACCAATTTAGAGCTAGGAAACAATGTTCTGGCTTAAAGGTTCAGGTGCAAGATATTCCCTTTGCAAAATTAGGCTTCAGAAATGGGAAAATATTGTGTTACTGCTGGATCAGGCATGTACTTGCATTGTCCATATGCTACTACTGTTTAAGTAGCTGCCCTGAAATTAAAATAATTTAGGCACATAAACCCAAATCAAACGAACCCGTTCCCAAGCCAATCCAATTATCTTGTCATTTAACTCCATCTAGAGCCATATCAAAAGAATTACTAAATCACACACCCGCGTGCTTGTTTCCTCTGACTTATATCACGCCTTTTAGCTATCATATAACCCTTCTAACACTAACTTAAATCTAATCACTTTTGCTATGTGCATTCATGATTAACACATACTCTAATCACTTTTGCTATGTGCATTCATTATTAACGGATATACCAAAGTCATTCTTCACCAATTTCCCTACTCAGTTTCAATCGATGCAAAGTGCTTTTTTTTTTTTGAGATTGTTTTCTATTGCCACGCACCAGCTAAATATCCTAATTCCAGCTGTACATTTCTTGAACATGCTAATTAATAACCACCCACCAGTATTCTGTTTTCCATTGCCATTCACCTTGGAGCCATCTAATAAATTTTTTACTTGACAAATATTAACAACCATTACGACACATTTTGCTCAAATTCTATTCTCAGCGTCCTCTTCAAGCTCCCCTTCCTGGTAACTGATTATCTTAATAAAAAAATTGTCATGTTCGGATATCTCCTATTCATAATTTTTTCTTTCATTCCCTCATTTCAGTTTTACCATTTAATATTCAACATATTATGAGTGAGTCCTAATCACTGTGAAATATTGTTTAAACTTTTAATATTTAAATCAGCTTTATCAACTATAATTGTACTGAACAAACAATGTATACCATGTGTGCTCCACTTAATTTGCACAGTACACCACAACCACAAATAATAATAAAAAAACATAGCCAATGCCCATGAGGTAGCAATCCAAATTTAAAGTAGATCCATTTCGAAAATTATAAATTCAAATTCAATTAAAAATTAAGCTCTTAATCTTCACAAATAGCAAACGCAGCAGTTGTGCAGGAATAATATATAGTAGTAGTTTTCACATATAAAAAAAATACATAGCAGTAGTTTTCTCAAACCATTTTCCCGTCTCTACAGTTCAGGAGCAACAACCCAACCTAAACAATAAGGAAATAAAGATAAAGGCAATAATTTACAAACATAGTAGTATTTTTAGTTCCTTTAAACCAATTCCCAGGATCCATTTTTTCATGGCATAAAAGAAATCCATAACGAAATTTAAACTGAAGAAGAAAATACGTCCATGAAACAAGTGTCATGGCTGAACATAAGAAAAATCCTACCAAAGAATATCCAAAACAAGAAAATCAGATAACTCAACAATAAAACTGACTAACTGACCAAGAGTTGTAGACTAGTGGTACTTCCTCACCTTCCAAAGCAGAAGGTCCAGGGTTCAAGTCCCCTTAGGGGCAAAGTGGGTATGTGAGAGAGTTTCTTGCCAAGGTAAAAAAATAAAAAATGAAAATCTGACTAACTGACCCGGTCTATCTAGCTTTTTTCTCATTCCATCCCATCCTACCTTAAAAAAGGATGACAATCTTTATATTGGTCCACAGAAGACAAGGGACTATAAGTCACAACTTACTCGACACAAGGTTAAGAGAATAAAGCTTTGAACAATAAAAAATACTATAACTATGCAGGTCCTTTTGTTCCTCCATTCTAATTGAGCCAATAAATTGTGAATTTTAAAATCCAAAACAGTAGGACAGGAAAAAGGCCAATAAGATTCCCCTGTAAACAGAAGAAAGATTGATCAAAACCTATCAATGAGGTAGGAGTAAAACATGACGCCGCTAGAAAGATGTGCATGACTAACCTCCAGTTCTTGGAACATAAGGATTTTTTAGTGCAGAACACAGAAGAGGCAATCAAGAAAATTACACCAAATGGTACAGTGCTTGATAAATCAAGACGATGAAGTTCACATGCACGTTGACTTAGACTTGTCTAGAATCAACAGTTGGCTAAAAGAAAACCTCTAATATCCAAACAACTTCAGTTATCAACTAGGGTTATTATTTGCAATAAAAGAACTGGAGTTGAGGATTTGACTCAGTAGAATATATAGCAGACCAACATGAAAAAGAACTATGTAGCAATGGTAAGCATAACATAAAGGAGCACATTACTTACAGTGGGATGAAGTCCAGCACGTGGAGGATCCACAATAGCAACAACATTTTTAAATTGCCGCATTGAAGTGGTCCCACTTTCTGAAGTGCAACTATTAAGAAGCTGCTTTGTAAGTTCTGGGTTGCCATTTTTGGAACACCCAGATGCACTTTCACCATCTTTGGGGTCTGCTACATTGTCATTGCAGGTACCTCTGCTTTCAACATTAATAATTTCTTCATTATTGCTTTCAGAGGCATTTGATACCTCATCTTGTTTCTGAGGCAAATTTAGGTACTCTTTCAGTAGAGATCCCATCACGTCCTCAGCCTGTTAACTCATGGATAACAAATATAAAATCAAACAAGAAATGAGTTATCTAAAATAAATATGATGAACTCAACCCGCAAAAAATTAAAAAATGGATATACCAAGTAAAAAAGGAAACACCCTAATTCTCACCTTTGCACATACAAATTTGCAGTTTTTTATGCCATTAATTTCAGCATTCCTGAGAGCATCCGAAACTGCAGAAGCATTCATTTCAATGCCCACAACCTGAAAATGTTTCAAGGCCAAAATAAGCTATATAATTGAGTATTAGCATGTGTGTATATAAATACACACATTCATAAAAAGAGAATGCTTCAAGCATAGATATAAAAAGGAGTACAAATATACCTATATATCTTTAAATATATATGCTATGTAGCAAAATAGTTTATTCAAATCCATTTTTTAGATAAAATGGCCAAGAATCTTCCATGTTAGATGAAAAACTATTTAGTCCCATCATATATCATACTTGAAAATAAGAGAATTGAATAATTCTTGAACTGTAATGGTGAGCATTACCATACCAACACGGCGAGCTAATGTGAGGCCAATTGTTCCAGTCCCACAACAAATATCAAAAAGCAAGGTATCAGGGCCCAAATCAGCCCAATCCCCAGCAAGTGAATACAACTTCTCTGCAGCTAAGGTGTTTACCTGCAACATTATGACACGCAAAGAGTTTCCAATTATACTAGAAAAAACTTTTCTGTATATGCGCGCGCGTGTGTAGAGAGAGAGAGAGAGAGAGAACAATTACAGGTCCTTACCTGGAAAAAAGCTGTTGGGGAAATACGAAACTTAAGATTGCTTATATAATCATGAATCCTTGCTTCTACATCATCATTTGCTGCATCAAGTCCAGACACAGTTTCTGCTCTTGGAAGGGGCAGTGAGCGCAATGGAGCATCAGCTGGTGCTGCATTTGATATTCCCTTATGATCCTGCTCGAGAATAAACCACCAAACAGACATGTAAAAAATGGCTTTTAAGATGCATTGAACAATATAAAGTAGAAGATCATCCAGTTGTTGCCTAAAGGGAAAACATATAGACAAGAAAAAAAAAAAAAATGGATTACAAGCATGAAAATAGATATCAATCATATATCAACGTAGTAAATTTCTCCCCAAAAATGGTAAAATTAATATTAATCATGGAAAATTAGATGAAATTTCTGAAGTGTTAATAGAGATGCTAGTGGAAGATCTTTCATTAATATATTGCAATTTGCAAATGAAATGTATGTTTAACATGTGCATAGTGGGAAGAATATGAAAAAATGCGAGACTCTAGTCTCTAGACATGTAGTGAATACAATCACTACAATTTCATAAAAGTTTAACATCCAGAGCAAATAAGGGTCACTATGAATCTGTCAAATATAGTTTAGGTATAAATATAAAATATACAATTATTACAATGCAACATAAACAACCATTCAGCTAGTGCCAGTGCCACAGCCACATGGAGTTCTTATCTTGTTCATACTCAAAAAAGTATCGATATTTCTCTATCTAGACTACTTTGAGGGTTACAGTCCCACTTGTATTTAGTTTTTTCAGATATTCAGCCTGTCTTTTAAGGCAAACAAAATGCATTCACCCCAAAGAAAAACATGTGTATAGCGTAAAAAAGTGCAATACTTTCAATATATTGCACGGTGTAATCCTGCAGGTGATATGACCATGTGTCATTCCATTAACATACCATGATATTTTGAAAATATCCGCACAATTTTGAGGCATATAACCTAAACCCCAAACCACTCAGTTGCACACGTGACAAACACATGCAGTTGAGTTGGTTTAAGACACATTGATCCCACTGCTCAGAAGCCAAACAAAGCAAACTATTCCGGGAGACTATGCCATACAAAATGAATTGTTCTCAAACAATTGTTTGAATAAACAAAGGTCACCAAACACACACACACACACACAAATATAAAGATGGATGGGATGTCGAAGCTCATTAAAGTCATACCCAGTTTCTTGTGTTGCCGATGACATTAAGGATGATGAATCAAAATTTAAGGAAATCAGGCCAAATTTCTAATGCTAACCAACACCTCTATTCAATATTAGGAGAATTATCTTGCTAACAAACAACCAAAACAGTGAAAACACACAATATAAATAATAAAGCTGTCTACAGTTTACACTTAAACATGCCTGACAAATTGACACTCAGAAATTTAACCAAAAAAAAAAAAAAAAAAAACATGGTTTTTTGCAAACATGTAAAAATTTTCAAGCTAAAATTATCTTTTTATACAATATTTCATTACTGAATCAAGTTCATTTCCTTGCACATTTAAATAATATTATGGCAACAACAAAACAAGCAAACTATATACATGTAAGTTTAAGAAAAAGATACTGAGAGTTGTTAGTCTCCACATTAGCTCACTACATATGCCACACACCTATATGCAAAGAAATTAAAAATTCAGATGCAAGCATATAACCATGAACTGGAATTAGTACCTGAAGGACTAACGCTGTTAGAGGCAAAGGAGGAGAATCAGCAGAAGCTCCCACAAGAAAAGCTTGACTCATCTTCTCAAGTTCACTGTTTACCATTTCATCGTCAAAGCCCACTGAGCAAACCTAAGAATTCAAAAATAAGAGTGTGTGTATGAAAATAAACACAAATTTGAATGGAGCGTCCAATAGTGGCTAAACTTCAATGCATGATTAGTTTGTCAATTACTGAAGCAAGTATTATCTTAAAAGAAAAAGAAAAAGAAAAAAATAATAATAAAAAAAAAAAAGAAAAAGAAAGAGAGAGTAAAGGTCTGCATATACTATCTAAAGCCCAAATTACTAAAATGTTACTCAATGTGGCTTCCTATGTCTACTTTTCTCCACAAAAACGTTTGAGAATATAGAAGTATCATGAGTTTTAATTGGATTCTGGTGTACTGTGTTACACTGCAACATTGTTCTTAATTTGATTCATATGATTAAATTGAATTATGTAAGACTCGTAAAAGTATATCAGATGAATATTTTTATATAAGTTATTTACTTTAAATTTAGGGTCATAATGGTTTAGCAAATACAACTTAGCCTTCATATCCTAATATGCTTTCAAAGCCTCACTGGTCTGGGACTTTTCCTATGTTTATTTCTGGGAGACACTTTTTTTTTTTTTCCTGGTGACTTTGGTTTTTCAACAAAATGCCTAATCTCTTTTCTGATATTTTATTTTTCATCAGTCACTTGTTATCCTCAACAAATTGTTGAAAGATCATATGATATTTGTGCAAGGTTTTCCATCATCACATCATCAACTGCCATTGTTCCATTAATTTGCATCCAGACAATGATCTTTGTATGCAAATTCCCCCTCATTGCTGCAATAACCATCTCTTACTATTATATTGGCTGTATCTATATCACGCGATACTATAGCTTCAGCAGACCTGCCTCCTATTTTGTTTTTGTACTAGATAGAAGTGCTCTGTTCATGTGGCAAGTTGTTGCTATTTCAGAAGTACATGTCGCCTCAATAGTATGTCAAGTCCATAAAGGCTTGATTTCTTGCTTGAAGACACGTGATGCCTTCATCAACAGAGGCTTCAGGCATTAATGGTGTCCGCTTTTCTAAGTTTCGATGTTTGTAGTCAGATAGAGCAGCAAACATCACATTCAAATTCAACAAGATAATGGTGCAAATTGATTATGTATTATTGGTAATCATTTGTTTATATCTTGTATACAGTGAACTTTTTTGGCGATCTGGTTGTGATTATGCAAAGATGTGTCCATCGCCCTATCAATTTCAAGTAGATTAGGATGAACTACTAGAGAATGAGAAGTATCATGAGTGGTTGTATTGGACCATGGTGAACTGTTGTTACACCAAAAAATTGTTTTTGGTTTTATCAGATATCATTGGATTGGTTTAAGCAAGGAGTATATTTGATGAGCATCTCCAAATAAGTAGTTTCCTTTTAGATTCGAGGAGCATATTTGATGAGTATCTCCAAATAAGCAGTTTCCTTTTAGATTCAGGGTTGTAATCTAATATAAACCCCAGGAATTTTTTTTTTTTTTTTTGCATAAGTTATATAAACCCTAGTTTTGGCAGAGCAAATACTACTCAGCCTTTTTTAAAATTTCTAACAAATAGAATACCAAAGAACTGAAACATCCTATGTTCAATAGAAAACCACAAACATGAAGAGAATACTCAAAGTGCTGGTTCATTAGAAATAAACCTGAACCATGAGCATGACCTCTGAAATATTGGCCCCAAAATCTTCAACCTCGGCGCCCTTGCCTGGCTCTCTTCCTTCTCGAACCTAATCAGATATCATGAAACAGAATGTAAACACAGCAGAAAGGACTACATGTTTTCCAGTCTCATTGATACAGCAAATTAAATAAATTCAACTACCGAACTCCGTGACTCCAAATACTGCATCAAGCAGTTATAAGAGAAGACATAACAAATTTTCTACCCTTCAGACAGTGAAACTTACTGTTAACTGACGCCAGAATCCAGTATTATTCAATCTGTTCCAAATTGGTAAGCCTGAATGTTGTAGAAACTCTTGAAATATGGCAGCACATTTGCAAGCAATTCTAGAAACATTGAGGCAGTCTGCAGGTTCCTCAACAGCAGTCACACCCTCCCTGAAATAAGTAATTCATCTTTCTTGATAAGTGCAAAAAAAAAAAAATTGCAAATAAGTACCTCCAAAAGCTGAACTTACAAAGACTACCTGAAGTTCCCAAGCATAAACCCCACAGTTGGTTTGCCTTCCAGAGAATATCCAACAGAAAATTCACACTTGTTCCGGTATCCATTTACAACTGGCGATTCAACTATACCCTCTAATTTGCATGCAAGGCCGCCTGCAGGGTTAAAAGATGAGCTGTATGAGTCCCAAAGTATTCTAAGACTGCTCTGAGATACAGCAGGGGATATAGGTTTTAGAGTGTAAATAACAATAGAAAGGGCATTGTGCAATTTTTGGAGAAATTCAAGTGTTATTATTACTAAATTCCATGAACAAAACCCTTCCTCCTACTAAAGTCAAAATATTATTAAAAAACTACGAATATTTGCAAGATTGATATATTCAAGTGGTTAGACAATGTAAGAACAGCACCTGTTTCCCTAGATTTAAGAATCCATTCTGGAAGTGAAACACCATTCGGACAAGCTTTACGTGCATGGCGTGTCTACAAATAGTAAAACAAAAAAAGGCAACATAAGTTGTTGGTGAATCGTAGAATTGTAGCTTGTATTCCGCAGAATAATAATAATTCATATTAGTAAAAACTGACGAGCACTCAAAAAATTAATATAAGGAAACTACACACAAAATATGATAATTAAAGAAAAAGGCAGTATTTCTGACAAGTCGTTTGAGAATTTGCATGAGAGAATTTTTCTTGTGCTCCAGCTGATCGACATAGGGCATATGAGAAAGTGGTGTCACTGCATCACGCACATTTCTTGCCTTTAATCCCAAACCATTGGGAGTTAAACTGTCATCAATTGTATCAACATCCTGAAGCCCATTTGAAGATTCAGAGACCTCCGCATTGTCAACAGCTGATGCTGGTTTTGTGGTTTGTTGGGGGCAATGAGGGGGAGGCATTGACAATCTAGTTTTCTTCTCAAATGGTCGGGGAACAACATCAGAAACCTTTAAGTTCTTGTTTCCCACAGATCTTCCATCTAGCTCCTGTCAAAGTGGGATTTCAGAGTACAAGTTGTTAAAGTTTTGCACGTTTCCAAAGAACTCCTATTGATTACTTGAACCTTTAATGATTACTAAAATACGAGATACCTCCACAGCTCTTTTCACTTGTTCTGCATTATCAAAATTCACAAAACCTGCACTCATACCTTTCTTTTTCTTGGCTGATTTGTAGAGAATTCCCTTGGAAAATACAGAAACTTTAATCAAAATACAGAAAACACAGAAGTAAGCCCATCTACATATTGAAAGGAATCATAAGAAAAAAGAAACAACAGCAAGGTGAACTTAAACCTTCTTAACGGGAAATTTTCCAAAAAAATCACCTATATTATTTGAAGAAAAATTTGCTGGACATTGTGGAACATAACAATAGTTATACCACTACTTATTTGTGTTTATACTTAATAGCAACTGACTCATGAACTTTAGACCATAGCTTTAAATTAACTGAACCATCATCATCATCATCCTTGCCTTATTCCCATATGAATGGGGTTGGCCACATGAATTCTCTATCTCCATTCCTTTCTATTACTCACCATATCACCTATTATGTTTAGCTTTTTAAAGTCATTTCTAATAACTTCACCAATGTTATTTTTGGTCTCCCTCTCTGCCTTTTACCTTCTATGGAAATTAAACTTCCTCTTTTCACCAGTGCATCTATAGGTCTCCGGTGTACGTGCACAAACCATCTAAGTCTACTCTCTCTTATTTTCTCGTTAATGGGTGACACACCTAGTTTTTCTCTTACACATTCATTTGTGACCCTATCTCTTCTAGTCAGTCCAATCATCCATCTTAACATTCTCATTTTCACTACATGAAAACGTTCTTATTTCTTTTTTAAAGCCCAACTCTCCGCTCCATAAAGTATAGTTGGTCTAATAACGGTCCTGTATAATTTTCCTTTAACCTATGTGTTATTCTTTTCACCACACTCATATGATGGTGTCCTATTGTATATTTATAGTTACAACAATAAGAAAGAGATATTTCACATGCAACACTCGTTTCGAAATCACATATATAGTCAGACGAAGGAATGGGTGGTGTAAATAACTGGGCTTCGCACCTATTCCGCATAAAATTTCACTCACTGAGATGCAAGCGTGAAGGCTCTCTCAAAATCCCAGATTTGAATAATATGCAAGTATGCAACTATGCATGAATTAGCGTAAGTAGCAAAAGAAGAAACTCGGATCCACTTTCTATCACTATTATGATTGTTATTCATCTAAATCTATTATATACTAAATTAACTTTCAAACCTGTACATAGGTGTTTAACTAAATTTTAACCAACAAATACTCAATGTGATCACCAATAATCGATAACCCTTACGTTATAGAAAAAGAAATAGCTCTAATCCAATCGCTGAATTGAAAATTGTATAGTTTTAGTACGTACAATTCAAGTACTGTATATGTTTTACAGGCTGTACCAAATTTTCCCATTAACCAAACAAAATTAGAACTCCCTCACCTGCTCACTAAGAAAACTCCTCAATTTGCCTGCATCCCACTTCATCGGAAGATGCACCAAGCACTTCACAAGCGCCGAGTCCGTATCATTGTCGGCCAGAGCGTCTGTCATCATAACACCAGCTTCTCTTGAATCCGAAACTCCGGCCCGTTCCGATTTCTCTCCATTCTCGGTCTTCAACAGCTTCTTGGCCCTCTCGGATGTTGGGTCCCACGTGTTGTCGGGTTTGGGTCGGAGCTCCTCCTCGCCGTGGGCGTAACGGCAAGTGTCGCCGTGGCTACAAGACCCGTCCGATCGCCGGAAATACGAACAGAGACTCGTCTTCCACAGAGGGTGAAGAGGACTACTTGATTCTATCTTCGCCGATGGCTCCGGGGGGTCCACTCTCTTTCGCTTCTCGGCCAATTCGATTGCGTCCGCTGATTGAGTATCGGAAGGTTGTCCATCGCCGTCGTTTTGTGGCTCTTGTGATGGTTCTTGCGGGGTCGTCCGATGGGATTGAGCGGTGGAATCGTGGCCGTTCGTTTTAGGGTTTTCGACGGAAGGGTTTAGGGTTTTGGTTGCAGAGGTTTCGTTATTTGAAGATGCCGCCATTAGTGGAAGTGTTTGCTGATGCCTAGGTTTCCTTTCAGTTAAGTTCAGTACTTCACATAGAACGTGTTTAAGTTTTTTTTCATGTTTTTGTTTTTTGTTTTAATTAAAGTAGAACGTGTTTACGGTTTTTTTATTTTTTATTTTTATTTTTTTTAAAACATGTTTACATTGGTGTTTGAGAAACAAATTAGGTTTTTTTTTTTGTTGTTTTTTTACCAAAAGAGTATTGCCATCAGTTTTTTGCCATTACGACTTTTAGAAGCCAAAACCTACTAGTATTTGTTAGTAATAAATAAAAAAACATAAATAATAGTTTTATTAATGGTTACTTTCGGAACACTCAATATTTTTTTCTAAAATATAAGTTACCTTTTTTATTATTAGTGTTGTTTTAATAAGATAAAATTTTATAAAACGGAGATTAACTTTTTATTTTAGTGAACATTTTAAATTTTTTAGAAAAATAATAATATTCTAAATTTTAAATTTCAGCATTTTAACGTATACCTTCTAAAATTATAATTAATCAAAAAGCACCTATGCTTTAATGTAATTATAAAAATAATTTTTACACCGAATTATTATTTTTAATTATTTATGTATGTCATAAATAAGGAAGTGAAGTATTTTATTTACTTGTATTTTGCATAAATAATTTATCAAAAATATTTTATTAGGCAATTCATTGTAACATTTTGGTGTGAGTATCACATATAATTAGTACATGAGATACTAAGTATGTGTTTGGCTACGTCATTCAATAAATTAAAATGCTCTTAATTTTGATAATTTACTTTAATTTTGTTTGTGTTTGATAACTTAACAAAAATACTTTTAAATGTGCCCAGTAGATAAGGTGAAGTGCAAAAGAACATATCCCTGTCGAAAACATCTCCTAAAGTATTAAATTTGTGCAAATGGGTCCTACTTACACATTTACAGTATGGTATTCTTAAATTGCTTTTATATACACATTTTACATTTTATTTAAAATTAAATCATTTTGTGAAAGGATGGAAATGGACATAAAGCAAAATGACATTGTTTAGCAGTGTGATACGCATTATAAGTATACTATAGAGATATTTTCTACACCACCATCTTCCCTGCCCTCCACCCACCGGAAAATAATGGTCATCAATGGAGTTTTGGGGGTGTGGTAGGGGATGAAGAAATGTTGAAAATGAATGAAAAAGGAGCAAAAGAGAAGAGAGGAGGGGTTGTCGTCGGGCGTCGGACAATTACGACCCTGTTGAAACAGAGTTCGACGACCATGGTTATTGTTCCGATTGCCAGACTTCCATGCCTGAGAGCTTAAAACTCTCAGTTTACTGTGTTATGTGAATTGGATCCTAACAAAAGGTTGGGATCTCACCAATTTTCTGTCTACGTGATATACTCATAATATCTCCATATACACCATGATCTGCGGTCGTGGTATAATGGACTCAGATAAGTACCGGTGTTCCGTAACAATATTTTATTTTTCATAATATCTCCATTTTTTTTTTCGTTGGTTTTTTTGACAAGATACCTAATCTCTTTTCTGATATTTTATTTTTCATCAGTCACATGTTATCCTCAACAAATTGTTGAAAGATCATATGATATTTGTGCAAGGTTTTCCATCATCACATCATCAACTGCCATTGTTCCATTAATTTGCATCCAGACAATGTTCTTTGTATGAAAATTCCCCTCTCATTGCTGCTATAACCATTCTCTTACTATTGTATTGGCTGTATCTATACCACGCGATACTATAGAAGTGCTCCTATTTTGTTTTTGTAACTAGATAGAAGTGCTCTGTTCATGTGGCAAGTTGTTGCAATTTCGGAAGATACATGTGGCCTCAATAGTATGTCAAGTCCATAAAGGCTTGATTTCTTGCTTGAAGACACGTGATGCCTTCATCAACAAAGGCTTCAGGCATTAATGGTGTCCACTTTTCTAAGTTTCGATGTTTGTAGTCAGATAGAGCAGCAAACACCACATTCAAATTCAACCATATAATGGTGCAAATTGATTATGTTTTATTGGTAATCATTTGTTTATATCTTGTTTACAGTGAACCTTTTTGGCAATCTGGTTGTGATTATGCAAAGATGTGTCCATCGCCCTATCAATTTCAAGTAGATTATGATGAAGTACTAGAGAATGAGAAGTATCATGAGTGGTTGTATTGGACCATGGTGAACTGTTGTTACACCATAAAATTGTTTTTAGTTTTATCAGATATCATTGGATTGGTTTAAGCAAGGACTATATTTAATGAGTATCTCCAAATAAGTTGTTTCCTTTTAGATTCAGGGTTGTAATCTAATATAAACCCCAGTAATTTTTTTTTTTTTTTTTGCGTAAGTTATATAAACCCTAGTTTTGGCAAAGCAAATACTACTCAGCCTTTTTTAAAATTTCTAACATATAGAATACCAGAGCATTGAAACATCCTATGTTGTTCAATAGAAAACCACAAACGTGAAGAGAATACTCAAAGTGTAGGTTCATTAGAAATAAACCTGAACCATGAGCATGACCTCTGAAATATTGGCCCCAAAATCTTCAACCTCAGCATCCTTGCCTGGCTTTCTTCCTTCTCGAACCTAATCAGATATCATGAAACAGAATGTAAACTCAGCAGAAAGGACTACATGTTTTCCAGTCTCATTGATACAGCAAATTAAATAAATACTCCAAATACTGCATCAAGCAGTTATAAGAGAAGACATAACAAATTTTCTACCCTTCAGACAGTGAAACTTACTGTTAACTGACGCCAGAATCCAGTATTATTCAATCTGTTCCAAATTGGTAAGCCTGAATGTTGTAGAAACTCTTGAAATATTGCAGCACATTTGCAATTCTAGAAACATTGGGGCAGTCTGCAGGTTCCTCAACAGCAGTCACACCCTCCCTGAAATAAGTAATTCATCTTTCTTGATAAGTGCAAAAAAAAAAAAAAAAAAAATTGCAAATAAGTACCTTCAAAAGCTGAACTTACAAAGACTACCTGAAGTTCCCAAGCATAAACCCCACAGTTGGTTTGCCTTCCGGAGAATATCCAACAGAAAATTCACACTTGTTCCGGTATCCATTTACAACTGGCGATTCAACTATACCCTCTAATTTGCATGCAAGGCCGCCTGCAGGGTTAAAAGATGAGCTGTATGAGTCCCAAAGTATTCTAAGACTGCTCTAAGATACAGCAGGGGATACAGGTTTTAGAGTGTAAATAACAATAGAAAGGGCATTGTGCAATTTTTGGAGAAATTCAAGTGTTATTATTACTAAATTCCATGAACAAAACCCTTCCTCCTACTAAAGTCAAAATATTATAACAAAACTACGAATATTAATTTGCAAGATTGATCTATTCAAGTGGTTAGACAATGTAAGAACAGCTCCTGTTTCCCTAGATTTAAGAATCCATTCTGGAAGTGAAACACCATTCGGACAAGTTTACGTGCATGGCAAGTCTACAAATAGTAAAACAAAAAAAAAGGCTACATAAGTTGTCGGTGAATCGTAGAATTGTAGCTTGTATTCCGCAGAATAATAATAATTCATATTAGTAAAAACTGACGAGCACTCAAAAAATTAATATAAGGAAACTACACACAAAATATGATAATTAAAGAAAAAGGCAGTATTTCTGACAAGTCGTTTGAGAATTTGCATGAGAGAATTTTTCTTGTGCTCCAGCTGATCGACATAGGGCATATGAGAAAGTGGTGTCACTGCATCACGCACATTTCTTGCCTTTAATCCCAAACCATTGGGAGTTAAACTGTCATCAATTGTATCAACATCCTGAAGCCCATTTGTAGATTCAGAGACCTCCCCATTGTCAACAGCTGATGCTGGTTTTGCGGATTGTTGGGGGCAATGAGGGGGAGGCATTGACAATTTAGTTTTCTTCTCAAATGGTCGGGGAACGACATCTGAAACCTTTAAGTTCTTGTTTCCCACAGATCTTCCATCTAGCTCCTGTCACATTGGGATTTGAGAGTACAAGTTGTTAAAGTTTTGCATGTTTCCAAAGCACTCCTATTGATTACTTGAACCTCTAATGATTACTAAAAATAAGAGATACCTCCACAGCTCTTTTCACTTGTTCTGCATTATCAAAATTCACAAAACCTGCACTCATGCCTTTCTTTTTCTTGGCTGATTTGAAGAGAATTCCCTTGAAAAATACAGAAACTTTAATCAAAAGACAGAAAACACAGAAGTAAGCCCATCTACATATTGAAAGGAATCAGAAGAAAAAAGAAACAACAGCAAGGTGAACTTAAACCTTCTTAACGGGAAATTTTCCAAAAAAAATCACCTATATTATGTCAAACAACTCCAATTGAAGAAAACTTTGCTGGACACTGTGGAACATAACAATGGTTATACCACTACTTATTTGTGTTTATACTTAATAGCAACTGACTGATGAACTTTAGACCATGGCTTTAAATTAACTGAACCATCGTCATCATCATCATCCTTGTCTTATTCCCATATGAATGGGATCGGGCACATGAATTCTCTATCTTCGTTCCTTTCTATTGCTCACCATATCACCTACTATGTTTAGCTTTTTAAAGTCATTTTTAATAACTTCACCAATGTTATTTTGGTCTCCCTCTCCGCCTTTTGCCTTCTGTAGAAAATAAACTTCCTCTTTTAACCGGTGCATCTATAGCTTATTTTTGGACGTGTTTACGTTGTTGTTTGACAAACAAATTAGTTTTTTTTGTTCTTTTTTTTCTTCGACAATACAATTAAATTTATTAAGGGGTCTGTTTAATTACCAAAAGAGTGTTGCCATCAGTTTTTGCCATTACGACTTTTAGAATCCAAAACCTACTAGTATTTGTTAGTAATAAATTAAAAAACATAAATAATAGTTTTATTAATGGGTACTTTCAGAACACACAATATTTTTTTCGAAAATATATGTTACCTTTTTTTATTATTTGTGTTGTTTTAATAAGATAAAATTTTATAAAACGGAGATTAACTTTTTACTTTAGTGAACATTTTAAATTTTTTAGAAAAATAATACTATTCTAAATTTTAAATTTCAGCATTTTAACGTATACCTTCTAAAATTATAATTAATCAAAAAGCACCTATGCTTTAATGTAATTATAAAAATAATTTTTACACCGAATTATTATTTTTAATTATTTATCTATGTCATAAATAAGGAAATGGAGACTTCTACTTACTTATATTTTGCATAAATAATTTATCAAAAATATTTTATTAGGCAATTCACTATAATTATTTGGAGTGAGTATCACATATATTTATTACATGAGATAACAAGTATGTGTTTGGCCACGTCATTGAATAAATTAAAATGCTCTTAATTTTGATAATTTACTTTATTTTTGTTTGTGTTTGTGTTTGATAACTTAACAAAAATAGTTTTAAATGTGCCCAGTAGATGAGGTGAAGTGCAAGAGAACATCCCTATCAAAAACATCTCCTAAAGTGTTAAATTTGTGCAAATGGGTTCTGCTTGCACATTTACAGTATGGTATTCTTGAATTGCTATTATATACACATTTTACATTTTATTTAAAATTAAATCATTTTTGTGAAATGGTGGAAATGGACATAAAGCAAAATGACATCGTTTAGCACACTATAGGTGTGATATGCATTGTAAGCATACTATAGAGATATTTTCTGCACTTACCCTTGAAACTATTGTTTTTTTTTGCATATTTTAATTTTGACACTTTGCTGTAGTGCACCATGAACCACTACCACCGTCCCTGCCCTCCTCCACCCACCAGAAAATAATGGTCATCAATGGAGGTTTTGGGGTGAGGTAGGGAATGAAGAAATGTTGAAAATGAATGAAAAAGGAGCAAAAGAGAAGAGAGGAGGGGTCGTCGTCGGCCATTGGACAACTGCGACCCCATTGGAACAGAGTCCGACGACCATGGTTGTTGTTCCAGTTGCCAGACTTCTATGCCTGAGAGCTTGAAGCTCTCAATTTACTGTGTTATGTGAATTGGATCCTAACAAAAGGTTGGGATCTCACCAATTTTCTGTCTACGTAATATACACATAATATCTCCATATATATACCATGGTTTGCAGTCCTGGTGTAACGGACTTAGACGAGTACCGGTGTTCCGTAACGATATTGGTTATCGCAATCGTGAATTTTTTTAAAACTCGCACATAATGATCAAAATAAACCGATACATGGTTTTTATGGTTTTTTTTAACCTAATTCGATAAAGATTATTTTTAAAATTAATTTTGGTGAATTTTATCATTTAACACTAGTAATAACATATTCAGGAATTTGAGTCAATGTTTTTATAATTAAAAGACTTAGTAATTATATTTTTACTAAATTAATGAATAAAAATTAAGTCAATTATGAAAAAGATGAAATTTCATATCATATACAACATATGAGAGAAAGATCAAAAATAAAATTAAAAATTACACTGTACAAGTTTACATAGATGGTTTTCTAGTAGAAGTTTTGATAGAGAAAGCAAATCCTCACATGATACAAGTTATTGTCCCACATTGGAAAGATTTAATAGAAGGTGGGAATGACTCTTTGTTTAATGCCTAATCAACCAAAAGGCTAGGTTGGCGGGCCACTAAAGTAGGGGCCCATTTTAAAGTTTTAAGGGCCTCTAATCATTTTAAAAGTTGATTGGGCTATTAATTTAAAGGCCCGTGTATAAAGTTTGTCAATAGTTTTTGGAGTTGACCTCATTTTGAAATAAGTGAGATTACGATGTCTGATTCACTTATTCTCTATCATTTGAAGTGAGAGGCAGGATGGTGCAATTTCAGAGTCTCCTTCACCACCAAGTACAAGTGCTCGAGTTTTCCAATCTCAGTTCCATCGTAGGTTGCCGACATAATTTTTTTCACCGATAAGAAACACACACAACTCACACACTTAATTTGTTTCCTAATAGTCACTTTCACCACCAATTACAAGTGCTTGAGTTTTCCAATCTCAGTTTCATCTCATAGGTTGCCGACATAAGAAACACATATCACTCACACACTTAATTTGTTCTCTAATACGAAGATTGTGACAAGTTATTAGTACAACCAATCAATACAAACACTCCACTAAAGTAAAATGGTTGAATTTATCACAATTTACTAAGTTATTGTGGAACCATTTACTTTAGTCAATTTTTATGTGTAGGTCGGTTGTACCAATGACGTGGTACAACCGTTCTAACTAATAATTTCTCATAAAAGAGATATCACTAGGCCACAAAATCCTTAATTAATTAAATACATTCGTATGGTTTTTTATATTGAAAATATATTCAATGGTAAATATATACAAATTTGTATAACATCTATTTATATTATATACATGAAAAAACTAGACTTTCTCAATTATATGGACATCCCTTGTTTGAAAAATTACAATGACAACGAAGTTTTAAAACTGATTATGATCGCTCCTTAATTTAACTGGTTAGTATAATTTATAAAATGACAAAGAAAAACATTGTTATTTTCATAAATATCATAAGAGGTTGGTCTAGTTATTTTTTGTTGAGTAATGTTATTACGAGGTCTCCCTCATGTGGCACCTTTTATGAACTCTCCGTCTTTTTATCATAATCATGTACAATTATTGAGTCTCGAATCTAACTATTTGAAAGCGCATTGTATGACAATTATACCGTCAAAATTTCGTACTAAAATGCATTTACAATATGTCACATTAATCATTCAAAATTTTACACACTACTTCTTTCGACAAAATTACACTGTTAACTTTGATCGTATAATTTTATTTTATGGTACTTTTGGAACTGTATTTTTTGTTTTTTTTTAACAATGATATTACTTTAATATTTGTAACGTGATGGTATAATTTATATAAGAGAGCTCATGAGAAATATTTGTAACCGTGATGATATAATTTATATAAGAGAGCTCATGAGAACAATATCATGTAAACCTCATGGTAACACTATTCTCTTTATTTTATATTATTTTATTTTTGAAAATTCAATTAAAAGTAAGAATGCACACAAATTCACAAATATTATTTCCCTAATAGGGCTTGAACACTTATTAAACTTCTATTGAGAGAGAATAAATCGTATACTTTCTTATCAAGTTGAGGTATATAAATCAGTGTATATTGTCAAGTGATGACAATCACAATTATTGTGATATGAACTTCCTAAATTTCATAGAAGCAAAGATGGGGATGTGTTGGTTATGAGTTCATTTCCACATAAATTAACTCACAATCATCGTTACACATATTCGAGTTTCATTCACAAATTGAAGTGTTGGTTGTGACACTAATTGACTAATAATGACTCATCAGGAGCCTCTCAAGTTGGCGGAGCTTGGTGTAGTTTATCCTATATGTAATCCCTATGATTAAAATAAAAATAATAGACACCAAAAGATAAATAAAATATGATTAAAAGAAAAATAAAATTAGATCTTATATATTTTTGTTAATGAATTATACATAGTAGTAATAAGAAAGAATAGAGAAAAAATAAGAAGAGGAGAAATAATGTTAAAAATATTTCGATAAATATAAAATATATATATATATATATATATATATATATATATTATAAAATTATACTATATATATATACTATCCTAATTGTAAGGGGTGGCTCTGATATTAATTGTAAAGAATGGACGTTTATTTATTTATCCAAAAACTTAATTTATTAGGTAATGCTACGTACCCATCAATTTATATCTCTTTTACTTTTCATTCGAATCTAATGTGATATAAGTACACTTATAACAACAATTAATATGAGACGAGGGAATATTATTTTTATTTGAATTACAGTCAAAGAATGCATATCAATTGAATTAAAAGCAGGAGAGAATCAAATCACATTTATGATTTTTTTTACCCTGTAAAAGAAGGAATATATTAAATGGAAATTCAAAAAACAAAAAACCAAAGAAAATACAATGAGCATGGATCAAAAGCACAACCTTTTAGTCCGAAAAAATCTCAATTGGGTTACTCTCAGGTTGATACTGATTGAAAATATAATATAATTAAAAATACATTATTTGAGACGTGAAACAAATGGAAGAATAGAAAGAAAAATTATTAATTGATCATCTTTAACAGCTAAGGATGGACTTACGTAACCTCTCAATGGGTTCTATGATAAACATATGGAATTTTGTGTGTTTTCTATTTAAATAAAGAAAAATTGTGATTTAGTATAGTCGAATTGTTGATAATTGACCAACTCCATTTGTTTTATGAAATGTCAAAAAAATAAATAATATATATATATATATATTATGATGTTATATTAAATTGATATCACGGACCAAAGGCATGTGCCTTGTCACGCTGCTAATAATTTTGGGAATGGTGGAGCCCACCAGTCCTATATGTCTCTCAATAATTTGTTTTCCAGCATCGTGGTCAGTTACGAACGGTCCGGTTGTCAACGTCCCACAGGAAACGTAAATTCGGTACCAACTGGCCCAACTCGAATCCGTGACCCAGCCCACAAACTCGCACCGACAAGTGAGCCGAGTTCGACTGAGCCATCCAAAAAATAATTACGAGTCAATCTACCTCTTTGCATCCAATTACAAAACGACACGTGTATACGCAGGACACTGACACGAAACCCCAGAACCTCCGAAACTTCTTGTCATCAACGCCCCCATATAACTTCACTGCCTCACTCCACTTTCACTCATCACTACTCATTTCCGCATCTTCCAGATCCATTCTCTCTCTCTAAAACTTTGTTCCATATCCAAACCCTAATTCTCATATATACGTGTATACATATGTAGTTTCTGTTTGAAAATCTTTGCTGATAATGTAAGGTGTTGATTCAATCATGGGTGTTGGGTCCAAGATGGATCAGAAGTGGTACGAGCTGAAGCCAAGAAGGGTTCCAATGAGGGTATGGTTAGGGTTTCAAAAATCTATGGGAGTCCTCGTGGGTGGTAATCACACCTCTTCCAGGTTTTGTACTCGCTAATCTCTTTTAACTACATTGTTGTTGTGTTCAATTTCACTGTTTGATTCGATTTTTCAAAAATCGATTTTTTCTCTAAATTCAAACCCTAGATCTGTTAATCGAAAGACCCAAGTCGAATTGCACGGCGCGTGAAAAGATAGATACATTGAAAATGGATTTCAAGGTCTTGAAATGGCAAATCTTTCGTGTGTCATTAGTGAGGCGATTGCTTCTCAAAACCTTCTTGTTTGCATTGGCTATGGCAATCATTCCGTTCATTCAAATTGTTTCTGATATACGAATGATTGATCCACTGGCTATGAATTTCAATGAATGCCAATTGAATTTTGGCTCGACCATGCACTTGAATTTCACTGGGTTTCTGAAACCCAATTCGGGCTTTGAAATTCCCCTTCTTGCACCAATTATAGTGAGGTCATGCAAACGAAGTGATAATTTGACTATTAATGTGTTCAAGGAGCTAATGAAGAAAGATTTTTTGGATTCTGATGCAAAAGCTCTGTGTATTGGGGAAGGATCGGCCTCGGCTGTCCTGGCGTTGGAAGAATTTGGATTCTCCAATGCATTTGGTGTTGAAAGACACCCGTTTTTCTCTCTTTTGCGGAAGCGTTTCGTGTATGAGCTCGATTTTAAGGATAATTATTTCGACTTTGTGTTCTCTAGAGCTCTCGATAAGGTTTCTGTTCCTGCTCTTCTCGTGCATGAGATTGAGCGTGTTCTGCGACCAGGCGGAACTGGTGCTATGCTTGTGGGTGCCAATAGTTTTTACTCGGGTGCCTTGATAAGGTCCGCTATACCAGTTTCGTCTTTCTTGAGAAATTCCAATGTTGTGCATGTATGTGGTATTGGCTCCTTTGCTCTGATTGTTTTCAAGAAAAGATTTGATACTGTTGCTTCCTTTGAGCATTCCCGGCTTCCCAGCAAGTGCCCATCAGTTTTGAACAACAAGCCCATTATAAAGTACATGGAGCCTCTTGTAGACAAAAAATCCGAACAACTCGGAACACAACTTTCATATTTACCCAAGTTCATGAATATGTCCTCGAGAAACAGGTTAATCTATATCAATGTTGGTGCAGGGGAATTTGTGAACTCTAGCATTGAAAAAATGTTCATGCCTCATTATCCCATACAATCTCAAGCTTTCGATGTTTATGTTGTTGATCACGACCCTTCGGTCCTCTTGTCTTATGTGAAAGAACCTGGTGTTACCTTTGTCTATCATCCGGGCCTTGCAAAAGATATGCTTACTACCAGTTCCAAATCCGGTGAAGATTTCATTGCGCCCTTGGATGATGAAAAGTTTGATTTGATTCGCTGGCTTAAAGCAACAATAGCAGCAGGTGATGTCGTGGTCCTTATGATGAATGCAAGAGACGCAGAACTGAAAATTCTCGTTGAATTATTCGAAACTGGAGCAATATGCCACATTGATGAACTCTTCCTTCGCTGCTCAGACAATGCCGAATGCAAAAATGCCATGTGCGGAGACTGCATGAGCCTCTTCAAGAGTCTCAGAAACAGCGGCATCTTCGTCCATCAGTGGTGGGGTGACTGAACTCCCATGCAAGTTTCGGTGAACTTCCTTTTCCGTTTTTCATGTGTTAGAATAAAAAACGAGGTGAGACCGTGAATTGAACATGTAATTTTCGGGCTCATCTCCGTTGAATTGTGTTTGTTTGAGTTTCCTCATCCAGTTGTGGAGGAAACATCTACTATGTGTTACTTATTATGCTTTTGAGTTCCTCATCAGAGGTTGTGGAGTAAACATCTACTATGTGTTACTTAAGTATGCTTCAAAAGTTCCTCATCAGGTTGTGGAGGAAACATTTACTACGTGTTATTTATTATGCTTTAATTTCCTCATCTGGTTGTGAAGGACACATCTACTGTGTTACGTACTTATTATGCTTTGAGTTCCCCACCTAGGTTGTGTCTGAACATCTACTTCGCTTCATTATTATGTTAACTACTGAGTAATTGCTATGTGGTTATATGCTTTTAACATTGTTCCATTGCTGCTATATTGAGTAGGAAATTCTGAGTTACCAATGGGCCGTTAAACCAATGGTATAACCTCTCCTCTCTCAAAGGAAAGGCAAGAAATTTGAGCTCCAACAATTTGTGAAAGGAAAATGATAAACTTAACTATTACCGATTGATGTGACAATCATTGAGTTTAACACCTAGGAAATAGAGACTGTTCTTATAAAAACAAAATTGACAAGAATCTTTATGGAATATTATTTATTGGAGTCGCACAACGTTCTGATCAGTGTTTATGGCATTACTCTTTGTGAAATGTGATAACTATTTTATAAATCTTAGAAATTTTTGTCACGAGGAATAATGGGAGAGTATGTTCTCACCACCTTTGACTGTAGGTAGCTTGAGCTTGAATTTGTAACGACTCGCTAAAAGATGACACAATCATGTTGCTAGCTGCTTATTTTTTGTAAAATATTAAAGCCTATTCAATTCGTGTGGATTGGGCGTTGCAAGTTCGAGTAGACGGATCCGAATGGAAAGTGAAATGGATAGGTGTTACAAGGGAAAACTTGTCCCACATAGGATCCGGATGGGAAGTGACATGGGTATAAATGGGTGGGTATGCAGCACTACCCAATAGTTCGAGCTTTTGGGTAAATGGACAAGCGCTCACCCGTTACAGTTGGTATTAGAATCAGACCCAGTCCTTGATCCGGTGTCACGCCAAGCGCCCGGCTCGGAAGGCGTCTGGGTGAGTCACCCCGGGTAGGCAGGGTGGTCCGACCGCAACGAAGGCGTTGCAAGTTCGGGTGGGGGAGAATGTTACAAGGGGAAACTTGTCCCACATCGGATCCGGATGAAAAGTGACATGGGTATAAATGAGTGGGTATGCAGCATTACCTAATAGTTTGAGCTTTTGGGTAAATGAGCAAACGTCCACTACTTACAATAAGTATGTAGGGCTATTTAATAAACTTAACATTTTGAATAAATAAACAAACGTCCACCTATTACAACTTTCCAACACCTAATTGATGCTGGCACTGTTTTATGCTCATGATGTCGCCTTCAACCCTTCACTTCATGTGAGATGAGAAAATATCACTTTAGACCTTTGGTATTTTGCAATGGTCGTTCAATCAAATAAAATTTTGTACATTTTTTTTTCTATTTTGGACTAAAAAACCTTCGGTCCTTGGTAAATTATGCAAAACTGAATAGTTTGGGTAGACAAACATGAGGTGAAGAAACTCTTAACCTGTGTGACCCATAGTTTGGCGATCTGACTAGTTTGCAATTCTCGAGTGCACTTGCTAGGAGTCGAACCTAGGCTAAGTGTCCTATTGTTAAAATTTCTCCCACCACAAATTTTATTCTTTTCTCACAATTTTTTTCGCTCCAACAAACTTGGTGTGACGGGACGACGCTTGTTCATTTATCAAAAAACTTAAATTGTTAGGTAGTACTGCGTACCCACCCATTTATATCCAATCACTCTTCCATTCGAATCCAATATGAAACAAATCTCCCTTTGTAACATTCTCCCCTACTCGAACTTGCAATACTTTTATTGCGGTCGGGTCACTCTGTCTACTTGGGTGACTCATTCGGACGCCTTCCGGGTTGGGTGTTTGGCGTGACACCGGATCAAGGATTGGGTCTAGTTCTGATATCAACTGTAATGGGTGAACGCTTATCCATTTACCCAGAAGTTTAAATTTATACCCAATCACTCTCTCATCCGAATCCGTTCGAAGACAAATCTCTCCTTGTTGACTTCTTCCTCTCCAAAGGCAAATCTTGCATGATAAACACAAGAACTTGAGATCCAAGATCAAAAATTGATTTTTGAATCTCCAAAATTTGAAATAAACACCAAACCGATTTTTTTTTTTTTTTTTTTTTTTTTTTAATTTCAACTTCTAAAGCATTTTTTAATCTTAGATTTAAACTTAAACATATATGTATATATATTTTGTACATCTATTAGTGTGGTTTGTAGTTGGTGTTTCAATTTTCAAGCTTCTGGGTAAAACTTTTTGGTCCATTTTTCAAAAAGATAAATACTGGCACTTATCTTTGATTGAATTTTTAATGACAATTTAGTTTTTAACTTTTAAGAGCATGTTACACGTCATTATGTTACATTTATTTTTCCTAATTTACATTAATTTTCAATTTTTTTTCTTTCAAATTTTTTTAATTCTCACTCGCAAATACTGACTTTTTTGTGATATACAACATGTTACAACATATAATATAGGGCTAAAATCTGAAACCTCTATATTGTTTATCAAAACTATCTACTAACCCCCTCCAATATGAAAAAAATCCCTGATATAACATAAACTATCACATTGCCCCCAATCCATCACAGAACCGTTAAGTTCCTGCAAAATGACAAGAATGCCCTTGATGGTATATTAATATTTATTTAAATATAATTATAGTAATTATATATACAATTATAGTAATTGTAAATATAATTATAAGTATAGTAATTATATGTAATTATAGTAATTATATTTATTATAATTATATAAATTTATAGTAATTATATAGGAATTATATACACACACACACATGCACGCGCGCGCGCACGCACACTTACACATATATAATACATATCCTCCATTATCTGCAAACGAAGAAGCCAATTGACAATAAATAGCAACATCAACAGTATGACAGAGGATAATTGCCGTAGGGTTTCTTGGACGGAATAGGCCACTGGGATTGAACTAGGTTTATAGTAATTAAAGTAATTATAATTATATATATTACATAATTATATATATATTCACCAAGGATCGAGAAACTCAAATTATATAGTAATAGCTTTGATCGACGCTGGAGTGGATCGGAACAATAGGGACCATGAAGCAGCAGAAATAGAGCAATTGGATTTAATGAAAGTTCTATGATGAGTTTGAAAGAAATTGATGTGAATTCAATCCATTCGATTGGTCAAACACATCTTCACATCACAAAAATTCATGGCAACATCGAATTGGTTCGATTTCTAGTTTCAAGTGAGGTTGGATTGAATCCTTCGCGATGGATTGATTAGTTTTATGAGAGCGCCCAAGTTATCAATGTATAGATGGTTGTAAGAATTACTGTTTACCAGGATGAGAGCTTCAAACAAGAGATTTCGAAGCTCATGACTTCCAATGATAAAAAATCGGACCAAATTCAACAATAGCAACACAAACACATGACAAGTCGCTCTTGGAATCAATGACGCTACGGTCACCGGAATCCATGGAGCCTCTCCGATGAGGTAAACGCAATGCGACAGTGGAGAAGAAGAGAGAGAGAGAGACTGAGGGCACGTGCAAGTATTGGAAAGGATAGTTTGGTCATTACATCATTACAAGGGCATTTTGGTCAATAAAAAATAGCAAGTGATTGTCACAGTTAGTTTGTGGGAGATACAATTTTAAAACCATCAAAAGTAATATGATAGTTTCCAAATTTGAGGGGATTAGTAGATTATTTTTGTAAATAACAGCAAATTTTAGCGCTAGAATATATACGTGTTAAATAGTCTTAAAAAATCATTTAAAAAATCAAAATTCACTTTAATTGAATTATGTTGTAAAGAAAAGTGTGTATCATAATTACCCCAAAAAAAAGTGTGTATCAATGTACAAAAAATTTCACAACTGCCTTCCGATGCTCTGATACAAACCTGATTCGTTGCACTTTACAAAGAGTCCTTTGGGAACCTTTTTTAACCCAAGCCATCATTTTTTTTGTAATTTGCTGGTCATTTTTTACCCAACCCATCAAATTTTTTTATTTTTTATTTTGCAATATGAGGCCCACCTAAACCTATCAAAAGCACCACAACAACAACCACAACCTTTTTCTACTTCCGGTAAGGAAGGACTTGGCTTGACAGCAGAGCAATATGCCCAAATGAAGAATTATTCTATTTTTAGTGGAGTGGAACTCAGTCCCCACATGAAATCCAGTCTGTATATCATTCAACAGTAAAAGAGACTCACTCCTCTCTTCTCTCAAACCCCTTTCTTTTGGTCTCTATGCTTTTCCTTTGTTTAAAAGGTTGTCCTAATACAGAAAATGGAGATGTATACAGTTCTAACAGACCATATAGCTATCCAAAAGGAAACAAATAAAATTAAAGCAACTATATAGACTAAACATTTGAATTGCAATCTGTGACAAGACAAGAAAGACCAGGATTTCAGTTTGACAGAGGTAACCAAACAAGTTTGAATGCACATGAAGTAGCATAGTCATTCAAAATGTAGAAAGGACATTTCTACATGTATTTTTGGACTATATTTTATTTTATTACAGCAAAATCAGAATAAGACTTCGTCTTGACAGCAGAGCAATACGCCCAAATAAAGAATTATTCTATTTTTAGTGGAGTTGGAACTCAGTCCCCACATGAAATCCAGTCTGTATATCATTCAACAGTAAAAAAGACTCACTCCACTCTTCTCTCAAACCCCCTTTTTTGGTCTCTATGCTGTTCCTTTGTTTAAAAGGTTGTCCTAACACATACAGAAAATGGAGATGAATACAGTTCTAACAGACCATATAGCTATCCAAAAGGAAACAAATAAAATTAAAGCAACTATAGACTCAACATTTGAATTGCAATCTGTGACAAGACAAGAAAGACCAGGATTTCAGTTTGACAGAGGTAACCATACAAATTTGAATGCACATGAAGTAGCATAGTCATTCAAAAAAGTAGAAAGAACATTTCTACATGTATTTTTGGACTATATTTTATTTTATTACAGCAAAATCAGAATAAAACTTCGGATAATTGGCATTGAGATGAGCAGAGATGAAGATAGTTAAATACCATTAAGGTTTAGTTAGTACATAGGCATCTCACGGATAGTTTGTGTAATGCCATTATAAAGAGATTGGTTCACAAACTATACAATGGCAAAGAAAATGTTTATTTCAGTAATTGCATATACAACTTCAACATGCATTTTAATATATTTTGATTCCTAGTCACTACCAAGAGATCTCCCAACTAGATTAAATTAAGAAGTCTTAAGGGAAAATAAAAATTACCATGTCAAGATGTCCACACTGTCCTAGTCCAAAGAATGAATAGTATTGCTCCGGAGCTTACAAGTATAAGAACCCATAACATAGTAGAAATTAGATCATCAAAATGTGCAGGGGAAGAAGAAGCTCCAAACATATTTAAACAAGCAAATTAGAAAAGTATCAGTTCCGTTTCCAAGCACCAGGAGTGACAACCAAGTCGCATGAAAAAAAACTCGGTCATGTACCTGTACAGATATTTATTTAGTGGATGTGGAAGAAAGTACGAAAAAAGGCGAAGGATACCATTGGACAAAAAACCAAATGAGCAACTTCAAATAACTGAACAATAAAGATTCGCAATTTATTGATATGAAGCAGTTGGCTGTGAATCTGAAACATAACTTGGACAAAAATAAAGAAAGAAAAAAGATAAAACAACGTTACAGGGGCGATCCTCCCCAGTACTCTTTAAGGCAAAGAGACTGCAGAATCATTGGAGTGAGGAACATCTGGATACAGGAATGTTAAGAGAAAAAAACAAGTTATCTTGAGATCGGCTATCTCAACAATAAATAATTCTGGTCAATCAAATAATGTCCAGGAAGCAAGCTAAAAGGCCAAGTCAGCTTGCAAATCCTCAATCTATAGAATGAATCCTCAACAACCCATGACAGCACAATTGTACACAAATACCCCGACATGCTCCTTCACGCCAAGAACCTTCCAATCCAAAACTCCATTCTTGACCCCTGATTTTGGGCACCAAGAGTTCAGCACAATAGCTTCGCCTTCTGGACCCCTTTGCCCACCCACGACCAGAAGTTCCTCTCCACAAGCCTTGAAAGCCAGGCCCCAGCCATTTGAAGAATCAGCCCTGACAGGCAGCCGTCCCAAAACCTCCCACGAGTTCTTCTCCTTGTCATACTTCTTCACCATGTTGGTCAAATACTCAACTGCATAAAGCTGGTCACCGACAACTGCCACAAGAGGAGGTGCCTGAGCAGCACTGCTGACATTGGGATACATGCCCTCAATTTTTCTCCAGCTTCTTGTCTTAAGGTCATACTCCTCTCCACACGTCAAAGAATCTGTAGGACTTGTCATCCCACCAATCACATAGAATTTTCCATCCATGAAAAATCCAGAGCACAATCTACGTGGGGAATGCATATTAGGTAACATTTCCCACGTACCTTTACTGGAATCATATAGCTCCGCAGATTTCAAAACATTTCCATTCTTGTCAGTCCCTCCAGCAACAATAGCAATTGAACCAAGACTACCCGACCCAAACAAGCAACGAGGGCGGTTCATTCCGTCACACTTCACCCAATCACGACAAATTAAACTGTACTTCCAAATAGCAAAATCCATCAATTCACGGCCAAAAACCAGCAATTCACTACCAACAGCTAACGACTCCTTATCTGCATGGTTGAAACACTCATCACATGGGATTTTAGGCAATCTCATCCACTTCTTTCTCATTGGATCAAATGCCTCCCATCCCCTCGGGTCACATACCATATACACCCAATGCTCCACAATCTCCAATTGCTTCCGCAATTCATACAGATACCCAGTTTTCATTAGCGAATTAAACCTCAGATTTAGGCAAGACAATGAAGCATAATCAGATCTACAAGCCCAAGCAAGACAAACCAACGCAACATCATCATAAAGACCAGGAAGAAGAGAATCACTTGATCCAAATTTAATCCGACCATCATAAACTCTTCCCTGTGCCCTCATTTCCAATGCAGTGCTTTCTTCTTCTGCTTCCCCCTCCAATGAATAATCAGAGAAAGATTTATTTACCTTATAAGAAGAAAATTTCAGTTTCTTCGACCTATCAGTTCCTAAAGCCATGTTATCAAATCCTTTGTATACCCCAACTAATTTATGCAAGTTCCTCAAAAACAACACCAATTTCACTACAATTTCCAAACAGATAACCTAACACTGCTTCAGTTGTCGATCATTTTCCCAATAACCAGAAAACAAGTTGCGATCGTTGCACGCAACTGTTCTCCACCTATAAATTCTATCCATCAATATACCAAATCAAACCTATATTTCCATTTGAAATTATTTATACCCAAAACAATTGCCTCCAGCATGTATATCATAACTTAAATTAAAGCCTAATCTTACAATTTCACGATGAAGTGATCAATGTCGGAGCAATCAACATCAATTACATGGATCTCCGGCGACGATTCAGAATTCGGAGCAAGGCCACCGGAATCTCAATCGTTTCCGGCTGATTTCTCGAGATATATGAATGAAGCTGTTTAGATTATATCAAAAATTAACACCAAATATGAAAACAATATAAGAATCCGATCAAAAATTGCTTCGATCCAAAACCAAAAGGCAATAAAACGATTGTTCTGATCCAAATTAGACGCAGAAAATCAATCGGATCTCTTGGCGGAATTTTTTTATATGTATAAGAGATCTTTAGAGGTGAAGATGAATACCCGGAGTTGTATCCATTGCGGACAAGTACGAAAGTTTGATCGGATCTCAGGTATCAGTCCGCCGGAGACGGCGCCGGCAAGTGTCTTTCACCAGACATGTCACCGGTATCCTGCGGGGTGTGTATATGTGTGTGTGTGTGTGAGAGAGAGAGTTGAGATATGGTTCGTTTCTTAAAAGAGAGAGAAAGAGAACTGATTGACGAAGTATGGATTGAAACTGAAAATATACTTAAGCGAAAAATAGAAACTGAAATTCTTCTCATACGTTTCTTGTACAAATGGCCCCTAATATTTTAAATATTCTGATTTTTCCCAAATATTTCATCTTTTATCCAAATGCAGCCCAAACCCACCAAGGTTCTCTCTCCCTCTTTTATCTTTTCCTTAATTTTATATTTTTATTTTTGGAGGATGTGAATAAATTTTTTTTTCTTTGCCCAGCAAATAGCTCCAACAATGTTTTTTGGAGAGATTTTAACAAAAAAGTGAATTATTGCTCTCTTTAATCTAATAGAAATTTTAATGATTATGGTATCATATTTGTATATGAAGTGAACCTTCTGCGATCTACATCTTTTATTTTAAAATAAGAGAAAAATATTCCTAAGTTCAGGAGCGAGAAAAAGATTTCAAGGCACATTATAATATTATATCATAATATATATTTACAATATAATGTACATGCATATAAATCAATGTTTATGAGTATATATCTATAGAAAGAGATAGTGATATTTTTAGGATAAAATTAATTTACAGATATAGAATATAAGAATTAAGGAAATAAGAATTCTGTGAAAAATGAGAAAATTTAGGGAGGCAATTTCAATATTTTCATAAAAATTCATATACATTATTATAAAATATGTATAGAATATAAAAGAGGGAGAAAATTCAGGGGCACGTGCCCTCCTGTTCCATAACTGCCTTCGTCCTGAGTCACAAAATTCGATTTAAGAATGTAAATTATAGCTTGTCAAAAAAAATTCCTATAAACACATTCGAATCAAAGACAAAGAAATACCATTTGAAAAGAGTTTAAAATTCATTTAGAACGAATTAAGGCAGTTTTAATTGTAGAATTTTCTTCCTTTTGTAGCAATTAAATTTTTTTCTTTTTTACTTGATGGTAAAATATGAGAAAGTTGGGGGAGCATTTTGAAAGAAAGAAAAATAAAAAGGGCATACATTAAATAAAGAACGTGGCTTTTTTTGGTTTTTCAACTTTCCTTGTTTGCTTGGTGTTGCAGTGATATGAAAGTGGAGTAATTTAAATGAATGGACTATTCTTGGTTTGAGAAATGAGTAATAAAGTTCTTATCTGTACCAACTATAAAAGGAAAAGTACAGACCCATTTTTTATATAATAAATTTAGTCCATAACATGCACTTTGTTGGCTGTACTTTTATGAAAACATGCTTTCAATTTCTCTAATGGTGAGGTTATACAATGATCAACGTTTCAATGTGAATGGAGCACAATGGTCCCATTAGAAGCAAAAGCAAGAAATTGTTTCTAATCAATGAGATGGTTTAGCAGTATTTCTTTTACTTTTTAAAAACCGAATGGTGAGTACTAGGGTCTTGATAAGGATAACTGGAGAAAGAGAAAAAAAAAAAAAAAAAATGATTCTAAAAATATTCTAGTCCTCAAAGATTAAACTTAGTAACTTACCAAGTGTCACATCGACCAGTATTTAGTAAGTGTGAATTTTGAGAGTTGGGAGCTAAATCAGTCGACGTGAATTTGGTATACGTCGACGGTCCTGTAATTACCCTAATTCTTGTTTCATTTACTTCCATGACCATTTACAAGCCAATTAATGATGCTATGATGTACTATACACCTTAATATGAAGACTAATTTGTGTATTGACCTTGGATTTGACTGTAAAATCCTTAATTGACCTCGGGTTATTCATTAAGATCAAATGTTTACAAAAACTTAGTATTCTAGCATAAAGCATAATGTAATATTATACTTATAGTTGGATTATTAAATTTCTTTCCTTTTTTGGCAAACAAATGTACGATTATTTTATCTTTGTCTTGGTGACTTTGTCCTAAGTCCCAAGTTAAGATTTCAAGGATAATAAATAGAAGAAAAAAAAGTGTATTATTATTATTATGATATATTGATTTATTAAATCGATTTAGTTTTATTTTTATTTAGAGTTTTCAAGCAATTCTTTAAAAAACAAAACTAGGTTTATGCAACATTTAGTTTGAATTTCAAAAATATTATATAAAATAGAAGAAATTTATCTTCTAAGTGCAATAATTATAAGTTCTCAAAATTTGAAAAAAATAAAATAAAATCCAAACAAACAAATTAATAAACTTTTAGATGGAGACGATAACATAATAATATAGCATTAAAGTATTTCAAAATTTGTGAGTTTTGTTATGGTAGTAAATTATTTCATAATAAATATTTCATTTCTTAATTTGTGAATTTTTTTTTTCCTTGCCAAGAACATATTTTACACAATCATTTGCTCCTATCAAACTTAAACCCTCAATATTCTACTTTGAAAGTCGAGAAAGTACCATTAGACTATAATCTTTGGTTAACTGTAATTCCCAGCATTTGCGAAAACTTTTTACTAGTGCCTACATATATATAGACACACATGTATGTATATATAGCTTTTCCTTGCATTTTTAATATTGTGCACAAAGTGATGTGTATATGTGTGATGCCAATATATAAATAAAGAAGTTTATTTATTTATTTTGCTGGCGTGTAAGCAAATTATATGCAAAAAGAACAATAAATGTAAATTCTTAATAACCAAGAAATTTCACATTGGAAAAGAATTAATAATTGAAAAGAAGAATCGGACAAAAGGTAAAAATATGTTAGTTGTTGCAGATAATGACAATTCAAGCTGTACTCATCTAATTTTTTTTTTGAATTGTCAGCCCAATTTTGCCTCCTTTTAATTTTTTTTGTAAGCTTGTTTATTTATTTTTGGTAAGACACCTACACTTTTCTTTTTCTATACTTTCTTATCCCATACTCAATAGCTTTGAATATTAGTTATACTTCTATTCACGTACCGAATATATTCCATTTTAGTATGTCAATGTATACATTGAATTAACCATAGATATGTCAATATTGATGTCTCTCTCTCTCTCTATATATATATATATATATAATTAAAAATGGGTAGAGAATGTGGTGCAAGTCCAACAAATTGCTCTTATCTAAAGTTTTATAGTGATTCCCCAACAAGAAAATGAAAAAAAGAAAAAGGTTTTTTTTAGTGATTGGTCTTGTGATTTATTAAGTTGCCTAACTAAGCGTTTAACTTTGACAAATTTAAAGGCAGTGATTGAAAAAGTTGATCAAAACCACGTGTTTGACCGTACACTTGCTATGTGATTTAGCAGACACGTCAATGTGTCTAGACAGCTATTAAGAAAGGTTGGCTTAGGCCTAGTCAAAGTCATAATATATACACACACACACGTATGTAAATTTGCCTATGTGAATTTAACACACATATATATATATTGTTGAAGGTTTAATGGTGATTTTTAATGATATCCTTTCTCTCCTTTGTGTTATGTTGGGTTTGAAGGAAATAAGAAAGATGGAAGGAAAATAGGAAAAAAAAAAAAAAAAAATTCGTGATGTAATATATTATTGAAAAAACGACACTCACATAGAGTTAGGATCCTTAAACAACAAACTGATCTATTTTAAAAGTTCTTTTTCACTTTGGTTGAATTAAGTAAAATGATTACATATGCATTAATAACTATTGTTTAGGTCTAAAATGTCCTCCAAACACTTATTCCAAAATACTAAAAATTATTCTCCTAAAATCAAGTACTTTCTTAAAATAATTTATTTCCTTTAACTTTGAACCATATTAGTGAAGCAGCCATTTAGTTTTTTCATGATCTCTCCCTCTCTTGTAGCCCGATATGGATTAGGAGATATTATTATAAAAAAAATTTGCACAAAATTTATATATATATATATATATATATATATATATATATGTTGTTTTTTATTTTATTTATTTTGGTAATATATACACCAATACTAACTTGAAAGTCAACTTAGAAATCTTATTTTTCTAAATTTTATGAATAAAAGAATGATTTGATTTAGGAAGGATATTTTGTAATTTGAAATAAGAGTTTAGATGATATTTTGAAGCTAAATAATAGTTTTTAATGCATATGTAATTATTTGAAAAATTAAATGTAATAATAAACTGATTTTTTATTTAGAGTTTCTAAATCTACTTAAGTGTAGTTTTTCCTATATTGTTTTTGCTTATTGTCAAAAATAAAATAAAAAAATTAACAGGCCAATCTAATTTTTCTACATTATTAATATTATTCTTACAGTGAAATTATAATTTATTCTCAAGTGAATTCTTATTTATTTATTTATTTAAAAAAAAGTCAAATATATGAAGAAGTTCAATTGTAATACAAATTGCTTTTGATTTAGTGGTTTATAATGCATCTTTCAAAAGTCAAACTAACGCTTTACGCAGCAAATTGTGCATTTATGGCCAAGAATAATAGTGTGTATGACCGACCATGTGACTTTGGACCTTTTTAAAATTTTAAATATTTGTTGTACTTATCTTATATCAGCTACAATTTTCCATTAAACTGTAGGATGGGGGGAAAAAAATTATTGTAAGTTATTTATTTGTTGTACAATTAATTTGTTGTTATAATAAGAAAAATTACCATTTTATGGTTTGAATAGGATGGAAAAAAAATTATTGTAAGTTTGTGAATTTTTTCTAGAAATCAAAATTTTTTGCTTTATTTATAGAAATTTTCTTATAAAATCGAAGTTAGGTAGTTATGAAAAGTAATTTTTCTTCATAATTTTTTTTTTTTTGCTAATCAAACTTCTAAAATATTTTTTAAAAATTTATTTTCTTCATTTGTTTGACATTTTCAGTTAATCAAAAGGAGCCTAAGCCAGCCTGTTTGGGATTGTTTTTTTATTACTTAAAAACGCTTTTATTTTGAAAATTTGCGTGTTACCAAATTTAGCTCAATAGATTGTTTGAATGAAACTAGAAATTGAAACTTTTAAAACTGTCTTCTGAGTAGAGGTTGAATATTTTAGATAATTCTTTTTCATTAGTAAATTGTATCCTTATTTTTTTTAAAAAAAATAACAATTACACTCATTCCTTAATAAAGTTACTATTATCAAATATGATAATATCATATTAAAGGATATTATTGTAAAATTAGCAACATAAATGTTTCCAAAATAATTGTTACAATAATTTAATTATAAAAAATACTTATTATAATGTGTCACAAAATATTTAATATGCTTTTTATTAATCGTAATTTTTTAATAACTCAATTGGTAAAAGTGTTTTTTTTTATTCCAATCGCATCCCAAACGAGGTTTAATTAGCATGATCCGACTCCTCACTGCTCTATTTAATTTTTAATCAAACCTATGAATAGTGTTTGCAAACTTTTTGCTAATTAAAATTCAATGATGACATTAATTTTAAAAATAGTTAAGGACAACTTCTATCATTTCTAGAAATAAAACGCAATTGGAGAACCAAAAAGAAATGTGAGTGAATATTTTATTCTAATAATTAAAATAAAAACATAAAAAGATGGAAACGAATCTAATGCTGTTTGTTCTTTAATGGGGGCATGTGAGGGCTAAATATCCACATGTCAACCTAAAAAGCCTCAAATCTTTTTCTTTTTTAGTAGTTTTTTTTTTCCCCTCTGCTCCCCATCATTATTTTATGGTAATCATCTTGACAATTTCCTTTTAATGAAGCATATTCCATTCACATCTCTCTCTCCACTAATTTCTATCAACAAATAATAATAACATTTTTTGGTCCGGAAAAAATAGAAAAAGAAAATTTTCACTTTCATATTGTCTATTGGGGTTCAAGGCAATGATTTAAAATGAAACCATATGGATAGAAATTTGAGAGAAGCACATATATAATCAAAATTAGGCTCCCAAGTTAAAGTTGAAAGTTTTTAGAGATGAATATTTGCTCGTTGAAAAAAATTACAGCAACAACATATTTATGTTGGGTCAATTTGGTTAGACAAAATTTTATGATAGAAAGTGAAAGAGAAAGAAAGAAAAATTAAATTTTCATTATGCATTTGATTAGTAAAAATGTGTTTTATTAGTTTGGATAACATAAAAAGGAAAAGAACATGATTCTTCTTACCAAAACACTCTTATAATTCCAAAAACTAAAAAAAAAAACTAATAAATTTGTTTTATATGAATACTATTTATATTCAATTGTTTATTTTAGCAAATAAATAATAAAATATGAATTATTATTATTATTATTATTATTTATCGTGGTTTCTTCTCAATGATTATGAACTGAGGACTGTCCTTGATTTGTAGACTGAGAAATGGTCAAGTGTTTGATTTTGAGTGGATGTCATTAATTTGAGATACAGCTTTGATCTGATTAGTCGAAGCGAAAACTTAATACTAATTTTTACAGGGACTAAATTCAATTCAAGCTCAAATTGAGTATGAATTTGAACACTAAAATATGAAATCTAAACTCATATTACTAATATATATATATATATATGTGTGTGTGTGTGTGTGTGTGTGTGTGTGTGTGTGTGTGTGTGTGTGTTCACTCCAAATCTGGAATGACTCAAATTCCACTTGTGGATATATTAACGAGGCAGTGGTAGACTAGAATAAGTCTGAACACTTGATAAATGTACCATGTTACGTACTTTTGATAGAAAGGTCCTACATAAAATCTAAAAATGCAAAGAGATGGCTCAATTCCATGGGGGGTGTCAGAAAATCAAAGGATGGTGCCTTTGATTAAATTATGGGGAGGTCTGACATTTCCTTCATGGGCACCACGAGGGCCACAATAATCTCCTGCCCAATGCCAGTCAGTATGGGCTATATGCTTTTCAGGTCTCCGGATAACACTAATTTATTTTTTAAATTTACTTCTTTGCATACTAATCTATCATTAGATCAATATTAAATCAGTTGAGATCTTCAACTTCATACCAACAATGCCTTGAATTGATTGAGTTAAATGCAAAAGAGAGAAAGGATTAGAGGAAAGTTTAACATCACTTCTATTTTAATATTAAAAAAAAAAAAATGATAAAAATTTTGATTATTTTCGTTATTGACTAACAGGGACGGACCCTGAATTAGGTCCGTGTCTGTCGACTAATATAACCTTTATTGAAATAAACACTTAAAAAAGAGTTTATCTCATCTATTACTGACTAATCGTTCATGTTAAATACTATCTATTAGAGTCGGTTTGGCCATTGTATCATTACGGAGAAAGTGAGGGATCCAACCATTTGAATATTATTTAAGAAATTTGAAAAAAAAAAAAAAAAAAAAAACATAATAGAGGCAGTGATTATCTAATTGTCTTTGTATTTTATACAAATGAATGCATGTTCTTTCTACACTATTGTTTTCATAATCCAATGAAATATAAACAACCAATATATAGCATGTACAAACAAGAAAACAATAGAAGAAATTAATACTATTTTCCTATTTTATTTTTCTTCTACTTTTGGAGATGCATTTAAAAGAAGCCAATCATGGGAATGAGCTTGAGAAACATATTGATAGGGAATCATGGGATTAGTCAAAGAATAAGAAATTCTATCGTTTGGCCCAAAACATGATTCAATTGTGAACCACGTGATGATTATGAAGGGTTCTCTTTCAATCAAATTGAGGATGAAGAAATGAATATAGACGAAAATGCAACCAAAAGTCACATGTTTTAAAGGGATTGCATTTACATTTCTTGTGTATATTATAACACACCATTTAAAGCTAGAATAATGATGATGCATATATTATAACATATCTGTTGTTGCGATTTTAGCATTGTGGTGATTCTAGTGCTTCAAATCTAATACACGCTAATAGTTTGGTACCATGGTAAAAGTTTGAACATGTTTGATAGTAGAATGAGAGTTTAAGCAGCAGTTACTTTGTATAAAATAGCACTTTGAGGTTAAATTGGGTTAAGAAGGATTTGGTTGTACTATATGAGGAGTTTAAACTGGGTTAAAAAGGATTTGTATAAAATAGTCTGTGTTCAATTAGTGTGTTAAATTGTATTTGCGGCAAATTAACATATTTGCGGCAAATTAACATAAAATACAGGACAAGAAAATGGCTTGGTTATTGGTTGAAGTTGGGTAAAAAAAATTTAATAAAGAGATTTTCATTTACAATATCAATTAAATCTTGAATATTTAAATTGTTGGTTTTAATTCCCCAATTGATTCGGTGCAGTGATCATCGCATTAAAACCACCTCTCCATGAATTGCTTTCATTGCCAAGACATCAGCCAACTCAAAGAGTTAATCAGTTCCACTCATTAAATACGAAACTCTCTCTCTACATGTAGACATTTCCCTTCCTAATGAAAATAAAAATTTCCCTGTATAGATAGTCCCTCATGGGATTAAATACATTGCAATTAATAACTAATTTAACCTCTGGAACCCTCTTACAAAAAATGTAAATATTTATGGGGTTAGAAAACATTACAATAAATAGCTAATTTAACCTCTAGAATCTTCCACAAAAATATATTAGAGCAACTCCATCAGTGCTCTTTTTGGCAAAAGTGGCCTAATTTTTGGAGATTGCATGCTCCAATAAAATATGAAAAAAGTGGGCCCCAAGTTTAGGCTCTTCATGGAGGTCGCCAGAAAGCATGATTGGGTTGGCGATTGGGCTCACTTTTTGTGGGCCCCTTTTTGTTTTCTTTTATTTTTAAAATTCAGGCCAAAACACTGTACGAGCCCCAAATATTATTTCTAAGGGCATGTTTGGCTGAAATAAAAGCTAAAATTCAATTTTTTAGCTTACTTTGGTCTCTCTCTTTTTTTTTTTTCCCTCAAAATAATTGAACCAACGAGCCGTTAAGGCACTGTTTGTCTCACACAAACAGTGCCTTAAAGGCTTTTTTGGGCAAAAAAAAGTTTTAAAAAATTGGAAAAAAATGATTTTTTTTCGTTTTCAAATTTTTCAATGTTCCTATTAACATTATAGCCGTTTTAGGTACTGTTCAACCAAACAGTACCTAAAACGGCTATATTGATTAACAAAACAATTTTTTTTTTATTTGATTTCCCTAACAAATTGAAATTTATTTTAAAATATGATTTTTTTATTAAAAAATTATGTCTTTGCTTTCACTATAAATTAATAAATCAAATGATATTAGACATTGTATTATTTACAAGATTTCATACATATTGGCTAAATAATTTAATCAACAAATTATTTTATTATTTATTTCAAAATAAAACATTAGACATTAAATATTCCATTACATAAACTTCATAACAATTTAAAAATAAAATAATGCAATATAAATTAAACACGTTCTTCACCAAAGCGGTTTCACAAATTTTCAATTAAATCTTTTCTCAACCGTGTATTTGTCTCTTTATTGTGAATTTGGACTTGGCGAGAGTAGATGTGTATCGCTAAAACTGATGGATTTTGAATTAAAATGGGAATCGAGATTGTCTCCTCCAGTGGCGGAGTCCATCTTCCAACATTGGCATAACGCTCATCTTCAATGATCATGTTGTGAAGGATGATGAACGTTTTCATTATAAAGGCACAAGTCCCTTTTATCCCAAAAACGCATTGGTCTTTGCGTTATTGCCCACTTGCTCTGTAAGACCCCAAAAGCTCGTTCCACATTTTTCATACAGGCCTCTTGTCTCTGAGCAAAAGTTTTTCTTTTGCTATAGTTGGGTGCAGGATTATTTGCATCAAAATTACCCACTTAGGGTATATACCATCAGATAAGTAATACCCCATCGTATGGTAATGGCCATTCGCAACGAAATTAACCGGAGGAATTTGGCCTGTAACGATACTATCGAATACCAGAGAATGATCCAGCACATTAATATCATTATGCGAACCCGGCATTCCAAAGAATGCATGCCAGATCCACAAATCTTTTGAGGCAACCGCTTTTAATATGAGCGTAGGCATATAAGAGCGTCATTTGTGCGTGCCATGCCACGCCACCAGACAATTCTTCCACTCCCAGTGCATACAGTCAATAGAACCAAGCATACTTGGGAATCCTCTCTCCTCCCTTTCTTGAAGTAATCGTGTTATGTCGGCTTCGTTGGGTGGACGCATGTACTCTTCCCTATACATACCAATAACAGCCTTACAAAATGTCATCAGGGTTTCAATGGGAGTGCTCTCACCGATTTTAATATACTCGTCACAATGATCGGCTGCACAACCATATGTGAGTATACGTATTGTAGTTGTCATCTTTTGTATAGAAGACAACCCCAAACGACCTGTTGCATCCCTTTTTTGGATAAAGTAGTCGTCATAAGCTTTAACATCATTTAGGATACAAAGAAATAATTCTCGTCGCATCCTGAATCGTCTGTGAAAGTACTCCGGTAGATATGTGCAATTCTCGTCAAAGTAATCTTTCATTAGTTGACGGTGGCTTCCCTCTCGATCACGATGAATGTACCGCTTCTTATGCGGTTTAAAAACTTGCTCTACCATCTCTGGGTTCATTGAATTCAAAATCTCACGAAAGGCGTCTTGATTACATTGAATTATCGAGTCAATAACGTTATCTGATGAAGAGGATGATGAAGAAGAGCCTGACAAAGGAAAAAATCATGATGAGGAAACCATTGGAATTTTGAGATTGAAAAAGTTTTGAAATTGATATTTTACTAGAATAAGTTGAGATGAATGTAATAATGATAAGATAAACAAATGGTTGTTTATATAACATGAAAAATATAGCCGTTAGGAAAAAGTTAAAAAATAAATTTTATTTTAAAATTTAAAAATATTAAAATATTAATATTTTTGAAGAGCAAAAATGCACCATTGGAGTACATAATTAAAATTTGGAGACTCTAAAATGCTGATGTGGCTATGGGAAATGTTTATGTGGCAGATTTGGAGATTCTAATTTTAGAGAGTCTATTACAGATGTTCTTAGATATTTACGAATTCTAAAAATCTTAATAATATACAAATGCATGAAGATTAGGATCTAATCAAGTCTCTAGACTACATAAAAATATCGTAGATTCTACAAACTCGGGAAATCTTAATAATTATGCCATGCATACACCACAATTATTATAGAATTCAACTTTCACAGATACCATGTCCATTCACCTGTGTGGCATGACCTTCTGTCAAATTGACTGAATATAACATCGATAAGGTTTTGCAATGGTAAGAGAGGTTTCCAACTTGAAGATTGAAGATATATGTAGAGTTCATAGACTATTTTCTCCATCTTTATTTATAGAAAAAGAAATAAAGATCAATGTATGTAATTGTTGTAATGAAAAAAAAAAAAAAAAAAAAAAAAAAAAAAAAAAATCAATGTATATAAAATCTCACAAATGGGTTTGAGTTGGAGTGTCGTTAGACTTTCAGTTCCAAAGACAGTAAGGTACTAATCTATTTAAAAAAAATTTATCTTATTCGGTAGCTTGCCTCGTTAATAGAAAATAGTTCCTCAACATTGGACAACATTATTTGATGCACTCTACAGGAGTTCGTGAGAAAAAGTCCATATGAAATTAAGCTTCACACATTTTGACGGATTTTTAAAGGATTTGGGGGCTTTTTGGACCGGGTTAAAAATGGATGTTTTGTGAGATGGAAAAATTGAACACAACCCACCTGAAGTTTGGATTCACCTTAATCATATTTGTGTCATAATAGTCTTAACTCGCTTAATTAAGCATATCATGTTCATGTTTTGAAACTCAATTCGTTTAATCTAATAAGACTTGTTTAATTAATCTACTTTAATATTAAAAAAAAAATGATTTTTTTTTTTCTTTTGGTCCTAAAAATGCTCGTTTTCATTAATTTAGTCATCCATTATCTTAATTTTTTTATTATTATATTTGCATTTTATATTTAAGTTACTAACAAGTTAACACAATCCATTTAATTTAAACGAATTAAAAAGGTTATTAAATTTATCATGTCATGTCATGAATTGTGTGACATGTATATTAAATAGATTATACACAAGAACGAATTCAGGAATTGTTAATGGGGTGGGTTAAATTTTTTTTGAGTGGACTAATACTAGTAATATATATATATATATATTGCAAGACAAGAAGTGTGTTACGGAGTATATGTTAGCTCCACCCTACCTGTTACACTATGCCAGTAATATATTTAATGAATAGGTTTTAAACATAATTGTTAAACATATATTATCCGGGTTGAGTTATAACATTAAGGGCTAGTTTGGTGTGGTGGAATAAATTGGTATGGAATGAGAATACAGGTGAGAATGAAATGGAATGGTTATTCCATTTGTTGGACAATGGAATGATTTTGATGAAATGATCATTCTCCAAGAATAGTGCAGAATGATGATTTCAACTTTAAAATTGACATCAAACACGAAAATGAAAAAAAATCAATTTCATTCCACTTTCTTTTATTTCATTCTACCATACCAAATTAGCCCTAACATAATATTACTGTATTAAGTTGATACAAATATGACCTGCCAACACAAATGGGCCGCCCAACATCTGGTGGAATGTAATAGAGTTACCATTTTGTATCAGTGTATTGATTACATTTCTAATATTAACCTTCATTTTCGTTTTATTTATTACAACCTATCTTTTTGGAACTTGGATAGTGTCTAATACTAGGATTTTGTACTCAACCAAGGGCCAAGCATGAACCATCTTAGGTAGGACCCATTCGTCGCAACATAGTACTGGCATAGTGTAACGGGTTGGTGGGGCTAACACCCAACCCATTTATATCCATTCGGATCCGATGTTAAACAAGTCCCACTTGTAACATATAGTCCCCTTTCTGTGTCCTTACAGACTGCACTGAAGTTGGAGCCCAGATTCTCTGTTGTATTATTCTGTCTTGTAGAATTATTTTTAATGTAATTACATTTATTTTCAACACAATTACATTTAGTTATTTATGTCAAATTTAATGTTTAAAAAAACAAATGTAATCTGTTGAAAATTATTGCGTTAAAAAATAAATATAACGTGTTGAAACACCGATAATGTGTTAAAAGGCATATGTAATAATTGTATTAAAAAAGTATAGCACTACTAGAAAAGGGAAGGTTACAGTAGAGGATCTGGGTGTTTGAAGTTGATGGTGGATTTAGGCTCCTTTTGTTTGGACAGAAAATATTTTTTAGAAAATATTTTTTTATTTTCTGGTGTTTGGTTATTATAAAATATTTAAGAAGAAAAAAAATATTAAAATTTAACAAAAATAATTTATTCATAAATTTTCGACAAGTTATTTTACATGTCTCGCCCGATGGACTCGGCCTCAATTTCGACGTAAACCTTTACTAAATACTGACAAAGTAAAAATAAAAAAATATTTTAATTGAAAAAAAAAAAAAAAAAAAAAAACCATTTTTAAAAAAGAAACGGAGCCTTAGACTAAAGTCTGAGCAAACGGTGTGGCTGAACACCGCCTCCATGCTTTGCTTGCAGTCCAAGCAATACACGTGTGCCAAGAATTCCATTGACCGGAAAAGCCCTTGGTGATTCTTTTTCCTTCATCGATCATCTCTTTGTTTCATATTTCAATCTCTCACTCACTTTGTTTCCTTTGTAAAATATGAATCAATCTCACTTCTAACATATGTATATGTTAAATTTTATGTTGTCATCTTCTCCGTCAAATTTGCCAAAAAGAAGAATATTCTTTTTCACTTGAAATTTGCCAAACAAAAAGATAATTTTTCATTTCACCGTGAGTGAGTTGGGAAACACACACATTTGTCTCTTCTGAGACTTGAACCTCTGACCTCTCTTTGGAGGTAAGAGACTGATATTGTTAGGCCATTGACCCGTGGTCACCGTGAGTAAGCTTTATCTTGTTGTTTAATTTACACCCCTTTCATATTCGTGGGTGTGAGATATTTGCATGATGAAACCTTGGTTGTTTGTATCATGGACTCCATTATTTGCTTTGCATGATGAAACCTTGTATGTTTGTATCATGGACTCCATTGATGGAATAGTTACCATTAAAACATTAAATCCTTGTCGTCTTTGGAATTCCAATCATGGTTCGTAATATTGGTCGCAATCAAGGTCGCGGTGTGACGAACTTAGACAAAATCAGTGTAAACTAACAAAACCGACCGGCCAGTATGGGACCCTTGAAAAAGGGTCACATATTGGCCGATATGACGAACCATGGTTCGAATGAATGCTCTAATCATGTTATAAATCCATTCATATGTATTTGATAGAAGTTTCGATCATTTTTGTTATCAACTGATAAGGACGGACCTAGAAAATTATATGGTTCATGTTAAATACTATTTTTTTTAAGTCGGTATCATTGTGGAGAAAGTGAGGAAGTCTAACTACTCAAATATTATTTGAAAATTTTGAAAGGAAGGTAGCAAATATTTAATTGTCTTTGTATTTTATACAAATGAATTTATGTTCTTTCTACATTATTTTTTCATAATCCTATAAAAATATTAGCAACCAATAGCATATATAAACAATAAAACAATAGAAGAAGTTAATACTATTTTTCTACTTTATTTTTCGTCCTCTTATGGAGGTACATTTAAAAGAAACCAATCATGGGATGATCGTGAGAAACATTTTGATAGGGAATCATGAGATTAGTCAAAGGATAAGAAATTCTATCATTTGGCCCAAAACATGATTCAATTGTACACCACATGATGATTATGAAGGTTTCTCTTTCAATCAAATTGAGGATGAAGAAAAGCATATAGACGAAAATGCAACCAAAGGCATATATCTATTTTAAGACAAATAATTACATAAAAAAGACTCTTTGTAGTTGACTTTCTAGGCCCTTGGGCCACCTCTTTTTTTGCGGGCGGTTACCCAATGTAACAGTTGTCAACAAAGTCAGGTCACATGTTTTAAAGGGATTGTATTTACACTGTCGGGTTGTAGTTGAGATTTAATAATTTTGGTGATTTATGGTCCTTGAAATCACACTAATACTAATAATTTGGTGTAATGGTAAAAGTTTAAAATAGCACTTGAGGTTAACTTAAAGTGGGTTAAAAAATATTTGGGCATAATATATGACAAATCCAATTTAATACTTAGATGAATTTGCAGGTCTAAAAGTAAGACTTTAAGATAGTTGCACATGTTTTTTTATTTTTTATTTTTTTTTTGTAACATACTCCCTGAAAGAAAAGAATTATTAGTTTTATTTAATATGGGTGATCAATTATATATATATATCATAAAATACAGAACAAAATATAAATGAAATCTTGGATTCGCATGTAATGTAAAATAAGGAGTAAAATTCTTATTTGGAGTCCCATGTTTTGTTAGAAATAAAACTATCCCTAAAGGAAAAGCAATCTTCTATGAATTTCTTTGATAGCTAAGAAATGAATTTATTTGATTGTTAACACATTACCCAACTCAAAACAGTATACACCCATGTTAATCACTATACTCCATTTTTGGTGCCTTATCCCACTCATTACAAAAGAAAAAATCTCTCAACATGGACGAATCTTCCTCGTTAATGAAAATAAAAATATCCCTTTATATATAGGCATCATCGGTAGGTTAGAATACATTAAAATTAATAGCTAATCTAACCTCTGCAACCCTCAATAAAAATATCTTAGATGTTTACGACTCTAAAAATCTCAATAATTTAGAAATCTCCAACTCTCTCAAGTTTCAAAACTCCACAATTACTCTAAAATACTCTTTAGCATTTACCATCCGTGCACCACAATTATTATAGAATTCAACTCTTCACATATACCATGCCCACGCCATATAGATTACTCCTTAATGCTCACATGTTGCCCTGTGTGAAATTTTATAAGGCTCATTTGATAATTGGCCTAATAGGTTAAACTTTGCAATGGGAAGAGAGGTTTCCAACTTGAAGATTGAACATATATGCACAGTTCGTACACTATCTTCTCCATCTCTATTTACTACTACATGCATGCATCAATTTTGGTAGGCACAATCATATCATGTTCTGTTTTGAAATTTAATTTGATTAGGTTTGTTTAATTAATCTACTTCAATATAAATTTAACTTTGTTTATTTGGGCTTTTTTTTTTTTTTTTTTGTCCTAATTATGCTAGTTTCCATTAATTTAGTAATCAATTATCTCAAATTTTTCATTATATTTACATTTTATATTTAAGTTACTAAATGGGTAACACAACCACTTAATTTAAACGGATTAAAAGGTTATTAACTTTTTTTATATCATATTGAATTACATGTTATTAACTTTTTTATATCATATTGAATTACATGACATGTTTATTAAACATACATATTACACCGATTGTATCTCTGTAATCTGTTTAATCCTATTTATTGATTACATTTTTAATATTAACCTTCATTTTCATTTTATTTATTACAACCTGTCTTTTTTTAGTTAAGAGGATTATATACTCAATCGAGGTGGAGAATGAACCTCAGGTAGAACCACTCCGGATCCTCCGGTGTAATCTTTGCTTTTCCGGATCATCTGGTGTAATCTTTTCTAGTGTAATGGTGCTATAATATTTTAACACAATTACAAAAGCCTTTTTAACAGGTTATTTGACATCTGTTTTTCAAGATATTAAATCTCGCATAAGTAAGTAAATATAAATGTGTTGAAAACAAAAGTATTTATCATCTATTTGTTTTCAATCTCTCACTCACTCACTTTGTTTCCTTCCTAAAATATGAATCTCACTTCTAAAATACGTATTTGTTAAATTTTATGTTGTCATCTTCACTGTCAAATTTGCCAAAAAGAGAATATTATTTTCACTTCAAATAAAAGATAATTTTTCATTTCAACCGTGAGCAGTTAGGAATTTGATATTTATATAGAGAAAGAAAGGGAAAAGAAGCTGATGAAGGTGATAAGTTGGGTATAAGTAAATTTTTCTTAATTCAAATCAAAAAATAGGTTTACCAAACATGTTTTCTGATTAAACTTCCTTTTACACAAACTTCTTCCTTAAGGGCCTTCTTGGTGAAGGACTTGTAGGCATCAAACACGCTTTCCATAAAAGTCGTTTTTAACACTGCCCACAACAAAACACTCATTAGCTTCTTTACAAGGACTTGTAAGGCTTTGAAGTCCTCCTAAAGCCTTTCAAAAGCACCCCCAAAAACTACCTTTATATTTCTGAAATCTCTCCTTAAATATATCTTCAACTCTTTTGTTCAGAAGAATGTTTGCCTCGTTGATCGGAGTCAAAAACCCTACCTTTCCAACTATACAAAAACAAACAAATCCGAAAGAGTTAAAGGATTGTCAGTGTGGATCAAGTAAGGGTATCCAAACTGCTCCCATCAGATGCTTCCCTCCGCAACTTGTTACGATTGCACCAACACAAATACTGAGGTATAGGCCCTTCCTCTCCAACGACCCAGGCATGCTCTGCAACAGCCTTCAATGTCATCCTCTGTATTGGGTCTGCACAAGACATTGTTTCAACAGGGGAAAAAGAAAAACAAAACCAACTAAAATAACAAGAATAATGGACTATTGACAGGAAAGTAATAATACTTGAGAAATAATAAATTAATTATCAACCGGAAAGAAAAGAAGAATACTGACCTTTGCAAAGAAGCCCCTCTAGCAAGTCCTTGAGCAGGGAATCCATACAATCAGGGAGAAATAAAGGGTTGTTGACGATCTTTAGGGCAAAAATTCTCCATCAGACTTAAACATTAAGGCTCCACAAAGTTTTAAAAATGAAAGAAAGCCATGAAAATATAACAATGACAATACAGATGCTGCAAATAAATAACTGTACAAGTCATGAGAGTGTGTGTTCCAAAAAACAGCAATTCACCTTGTCATATGTATCCTGCAGAGTATCTCCAAGAAATGGGTAGTTTCCCAACACCATACAATACAAAGTAACTCCTACAGCCCATGTGTCAGCAGCTTTGCCATGATAGGTTAGACCTGTTAAACAAGAAGGAAATCAACATGCTGATTATTATATATTTCGTGTGTCGTGTGATTTTAATTTTACTAAAATAAATTTCCCACACGGAGAGAGATCCCTAACCTAAACAACACTCAGGTGCAGTGAAGACAGGAGTCCCAGGAGAGCGACGAAGCTCATCATTGTCGTCCTGCAAATAAAACCAATTTCAAAGTAGTGCCAAAAAAACCAAGATCACTGATCCACATCGAGTGCAGAGGTAATTAAGGAACTTTACATGGATAGAAATAAAATGATTTCAATGTGGATAAATCCAGAAATATATTTTTGCATTCATGTCAATGCCACTTTGTCCACATAATGACAAAGGTTAGATTCATATCCACTCTACCCCTCACAACACCATCTATTCAAGGGGACCCACTTATTCAAGTCAATGACACATGAAGCTTGATGTCTCAAAAAGTCCATTTCCTCAACTTTTTGAGATCGACAAAATTAATTCCAAACATTATGCTAACTTTGATTTGTGTATTTAAGTAAATGACTCCAAAACAGGATTAGAGAACTAGAATTGCAAGTCAGGTTGCTAGCAAAGGAGGCTCTCAAGCTCAACCTGAGGTATATGACATTCTCCACTAGAAGTCCAGTGTAGCTAAACCCATGCTTAAATTTCTAAGCACAGATTGTGCTCACCTTTTATTTGATTCAGTTTAGGTTCACTCTAGCTACGGGTGGTCAAGCCAGAATAGCAACAGCAACAACTTGTTTCTTCCACCCGTGTCTTTCATTCACGTAGACATCCTTGCCCATGAAGACCATCCACCAACACCACCCAGAACACACAGAAAACAAAACATATTTGGAGCATAGTAAGCACTTAAATCACTTTTTTTATGCACAACAATTTTGATAAGCATTTCTGCACAAAATGTGTTGCAGAAGAATTATCTTAACATATGAAATCAAAGATGTTGACAGCAGTAAAGTTGTGCAATTATATTCATATTACACAAAAAGCTAACATGATGATGTCTGGAAAAACATGTTAAGCATTATCCAGTCAAACAAGTATGCAGCTAGATTATGCAGCAGCTTTATAATTTAGTTGAAATTTAATTGAAACTTAGTTGTTGCATCAGGTTGACTACAAAGTCATCTTTTCCCACCATCAGGTTAGTACAGCTTAGGTGACCTATGTGGACGGGTGTGATGTGGGCGGGTGCGAGACAATGGGCAAGCTACAAGTTGCACAATCCCACATCGCCTAGGTAAGGTGAAGGTTATCTACAAATGGTACGAGGCCTTTTGGGGTAAAACACAAGAACAAAACCATGCGGGCTCAGGCATAAAGCGGTCAATATCATACCATATGGTGGAGTGGGTTGTTACAACAGCTACTTTGATATTGTTTATTCTAGCCTTCTGCTTGGAGTACCCTTTTAAAAGTTGCTAGCTTTTTTAATTGAGGTGTTATTAAAAATCAGCCATGCTTTCAAATATTAATGTTTCTGATATATATGTGTGTTCAAAACGTAAAATGTTTTTCATGACCCCGATATTGACCAGAAATATATAGTGTGTTCAAAACGTAAAACGTTTTTCATGATCCCGATATTGACCAGAAATATAGTGTGTTCATAACGTCAAATGTTATTCATGATCCGATATTGACCGGAAATATTTATATATAGGTCTCCACCTTGGTATGTTCTTAGAACTTTGGTAAGCGAATGTGTATTGTTATATCACTATTTTCATTAGTGCATGTTTACAAATGTGTCACTACTTCAGATATCGCATATCTGTTCGATGCACATTATTTAATCGTGCAAACTGGTCTATTTATAATTTATATAATTTTTTGATAAGGAAAAAAAAGGTGAAAATATTATTCTGTTGCCAGGAATAGGAGCAGCTCTGCTTTCAGCTTGAAACTTTTTTCTCTTCATCAATGCTGTTGTTATCAGTTTATTAATGTCTGATAATATTTAACTTAAACAATATAACATTGTCGTAATCATCAGTTTTCATCTCCTGCAAATAACTAAATGAGTAAAAAAAATATCATAACCCACATCAATCAGACCATTTTTGTCGCGTAAATTTAAAAAGGAAAAAAAGGAAAGGAATCACACTTCAAAACAAATGTTCATATTCATATTCTAAGAACAAATGGAACAAAGAAAAAACGAAGAATCTACAATCACCGTAAACTATATCACCTTCAAATGCCTCTTCAATACTTTGCATTAGAGGGTGTCAAGAACGAAGTAAAAAGGAGCCAAAAATTACAATTAAAAATATTGAAGAAAACCTAAGAAAGAACCTATGATCTCGCTTTTGTGTCACGTATTCATCTCTTTATTCTCTTCTTGTTCCTCCAAGCAGAATAGCAAAATTGAATAGAATTCTTCCAATAAGATTTGATTAAAATATATTGGACAAGAATGCTCCTTAAATTTAGTGGGGCTTGTTTAGTTTGAGGTATTAATTACATCTGCCTGGTCTGGGAGTATTACGACACCCTAAAGCATGCAGTACCTTAGCACCTACGCCAGCAAAGCAACTGCTTTTGTATCTGGATGTCCATGGGCTTAAATATGTATAGTGAGCCTAAACTTCAGGATCCAACTGAACAAGCATGTCCAAAGAATGACGAGAACAGTCTCCTGCTTCTATAAATTTGAAGGATATAATCTTCACTTGTTCCATGGTTACTAGTATAGTAGTTGACAAATTAGTTATATTGTTTTATATGTAGGCCAAGGTACAGACAAATATACAGGTAAAATCCTCTGTCCTTAACATTTGGGGAATAACACATCAAACACCATCACTGACATGTACGCCCCAACTCCATGTAAGGAGTTGTATATGGGAATGGAGTCATGAACACTGAAAAACTTTGGAATAGATCATCCTCCACTGACCTAGAGATGCAACTTCAATTGAGCTTCTTGTGGGTTATTTTGGTCAGTGCCAACTTGAACCCGCATTTTTCACGTCCAAAGTTCCAAACATAACTCCAGCTAAACTCACTAACCCTTCAAAATGAAATTACTCTAGCCCTAACTTAAACTATTTTGAACACTTAAATATACAGCTCAAAAACAAACCAGGCCGCTCAAATTTGGATCTCATAGGTCAACCTCGCTGATCTGCAACCAAATCGACGACTACTGACAAACCAAGTAATTCTCTCTCCCACTTACTCTCTCTTATTTCTTATTTGTTTATGTGTGATCAGGTTTCAGTGTCATAATTCCAAATAAAAACATTATTTCCCAATATTGAGATATCTTGATATGTGGTGTCAAGAAATTGCCCTTTGCAATCACCCTTTCTTTTTTCTTTCATATTTGACATATGTTTGTTCTTTATGCCAAAATGAAACCAACCTTTATCAAGTTGATTTAGAAGACCTAAACTATTGCAATGCATTTTCAAAACAGATGAAGGTTGTTAGCATAGCACGATATATCACATCAATCCCCCCGTGTAACATGATTCCTTCTTAGAATTATTACCCGTGTAACGTGATTCCTTCTTAGAATTATTAATTTACCGCTACTTGTGACAAGTGTTATTAGATGATATGATGTTTTAACATATCCAGATTTTATTTTTTTCAATACACTGTAAGAATTAAAGAGGTTAAGCCAGTAAAAGATGAATGAGGGAATGTGCAGGGCTTTTAATTTAAAAAATAATAATAATAACCAAGCACACCTACACCACTTTAAAAAACAGTAAGGATGAGGAGGTACCACTTGAACTTAAGTTACATGGTTAAACAACTCATTACCTCAAAAACCTGGCTGACGCTGAAATCTCCAATCTTTACTGTGCCCGTACCAGTAACCAGAAGATTATCAGGTTTGATATCACCATGCACTATATTCTGTTAGAAGAGATAAATCCATGTAATGTCAAAAAAGGAACTGAAATTCAGGTTATGTTGCGCACAAGTCAAAATAAGTCTATGTTTTAGGGTATTTAAGTCCGCATTTTATAATGTCATCTATTCAGATGCATAATAAATAAAGCAACGCATATAAAATGTCAGTACAATGAATGAAATGCACACTTTATCAAATTGATAACATCACAAATCTCAGCAAGAATGAACAAGAATCATGAAAACATACTATGAACAGAAACTGAAACCACACGACAAACCATGAAGATTCCACAAACTGGCAAGCACTCAAAGACAAAGGTAATACTGTAAAAAAAATCTAGAAGAACACACTGAAAGAAGTGGTGGCAAGCAAAACGTCTCAAAGACACTACAAACAAAGGAAAAGGAAAAACAGTAGCAAAAGCATCAAACTTTACACATTTTATCATCTCTGCAATACTACACTAGAAGAACTTTTTGTTGAAATTTGGAGTCCAGCCTGACCAAGGACAGGTAATATTGGAGTTGATAGAGCACAAGATAGCGGAAACTAACCCTTGACAAAGCAAGACAACAAAACCAACAAATGAACATGAAAAATGATATCTAGCAAAAATATCTCCTGTTATGGTTGAAATTTTACAATAAAGATTCATTATTGTTAACAACAATTCATTTGTAAATAATATATGTATATATATATTCTTAAAACAGGTACTAGAATACCAATAGGGTGACTGGAGTACCAAAGTACATTCATTTTTTATAGATTAAAAAGACCAACATAACCGGGCCTCCTTGGCTCCTGTTGGATTATTTCACATTACATGCGAAGTAACATCCCCAACGTCAGGGGTTCAAGGCTTGGTAAAGCAGCAGGCAAAGGATAACCAACAATTATATTACTTAAAACAGGTACTAGAATACCAATAGGGTGACTGGAGTACCAAAGTACATTCAATTTTTATAGATTAAAAAGACCAACATAACCGGGCCTCCTTGGCTCCTGTTGGATTATTGCACATTACATGTGAAGTAACATCCCCAACGTCAGTGGTTCAAGGCTTGGTAAAGCAGCAGGCAAAGGGAAAAAAACATAACCGCCAAGTAAATTAGAACTTTGGGCTTTTAATCCAAACACTGCATTATGACCATCTTGTTAGCATTAAGCTAATATGATTTTATAATTTTCAGAATTCTTCATAAAGAACAATCCTTTGCACGTGATTTTAGGATCCCCAAAAGAAACTCAAAGAATCAGGACTACAATGAGTCGATGACAGAGATATAAATAATTTATTAAAATCAATTTGCATTTTTGGATCCAATGTTTTCTTTTTCTTTTTTCTTTCTTTTTTTATTTTTTTTTTTTGGACAAGTAAGATTTGCATTAAAGAAGTGTTCAAAGGGGGAACGCACCCCTCAAGGCCAAATAGGGCTTCTAAACTCTCAGAGCCCAAAAAATCAACTATCTTCTCCGTGGATTTACAATTTCTCCCAAGTTTACTGACAAACATTAATTGCCAAAATACTTATAACAACCACAATAGCTACGAGCAAATGACCAATATAGACAGGTCATAAAGAAAGGGTGTATATTCAATGAATGAAGAATGTATAGTACTCAAATCATACATGAGCATGCAGGTACATTAATCCAGAAACTATATCCCGCAGGTACTTCCGTGCAGTATTTTCTCCAAGGCCGCCTGGTGGACCAGAGCCCTCGCATACCCATTTGCCTTCCACATATTCAAGAACTGAACAAAATAAGAAGTTCTCATAATTAAACAAAAAGCCCAACTTTCTTATTTCTCAAGATTTCAACCTTAATGCAACTTAAGATCATGTATCCAAATGCATAAAATTGAAGTGAATGATGAGCATGCTTGAGAGAGAGAGAGAGAGAGAGATGAGAAAAGGAAAGTAGCAATGAATACCCATGTAGAAGTGATCTGTTGTTGGGTCATCAATCACCTCGATGAGATTAACTATATTAGGATGGTTCAAAATTTTCATGATTAAAACCTGTGAAGGAAAAATATATGTCAAAATTAGTTGATTCAACTGTCCATGAGAATTAAACTAAAGTTGGCTTATAATTTATACAAACATTTAAAGGCAACAAAAAGTATGGCCTATGTCAAACTCTTACATATAGCATGGTGAATAATTTTGCCAATACTAAGGGATGATCACAAAATTAGGAAAATCCATATCACAACACAACCAAAACAGCATCATTTGAAAAACTAACTTATGACCATATCACAACATGACCAAAACAGCATCATTTGAAAAACTAACTTATGACAGTTACTCTATATTTGAAGGGGTAAATTAATATATGTAGCGGGAAATATGGGATGCAGCAACACATCACAAAATTAGGAAAATCCATATCACAACACAACCAAAACAGCATCATTTGAAAAATAACTTATGACAGCTACTCTATATTTGAAGGGGTAAATTAATATATGTAGCGGGAAATATGGGATGCAGCAACATTTAGTATAAATTTATTACAATTATGCAGGTGGTCTGAAATTAATTATGCATTTGTCCAATATAAGCATCCAATTTTTAGTGCAGAAGAGTGCAATACAACTCTGCAAATATCCCAACAAGATAAATAATTCAACGTCAACCTATAAATGCAGCCGTGAGGGGAGGAAGATTGATTTGCATAGAGGGTAAGACACAAAGAGGTCAACCACAACTAGCATGGAATGAAGTGATAAGAAATAGCTTTTAAAAATTAAATCTAGTAGAGGATATGACTTATGATAGAAAAGAGTGAAAAAAGATAATCCAAGTGGCCAACCCCGTTTGTATGGGATAAAGGCAAAGATGATGACAATGATAAATTACATAGGACAGCAAGCAAATACCTCACGGAGAACATCAGTCATGGCAGTCTCTGAAGGTGCAACTCGCAGCTTTAATAGATGTGACTTGTGGAAGGCCTGCAATAGAAATTGTACAAATAATTACAAAAATGGAACCTTATCCTGGTATGAATTTTCAATTTTAATGTTAATTAGCTATAATCCATAAATTCTTAACAAAGAAATTGCCACTACATTATCAAATAAGCCCCAAATAAATTTTAATTGAAAAATAAATACATAACTGAAATCACTTGCGAAACTCTAACTGGGGCTACATACGTTTAAAACTGTCCAATTCATTGTTTCGTCTTAAGTTGGACTCATTACTAACAAAAAGTACACTTCTACTATAAAAGAGAATGTAAAATAGAAATGCAAAAAAAAAAAAAAAAACATGTATGTTCATCAAAGGAAAATAAAAAAAATTAATAATAATAAAATGGAAGAACCAGTTTATCTTCACAAGACAAAACAAAGAAAATTTGAACAAAGAAAAAAAAAAAGGAGCAAGTACATAATAAGTATGAAAATGAGATGATAATGATTTAGAGTCTCATCGAAGACTAACAAACTTTCTGAGCCACATGCAAGAAGAACCTAATAATGACAAGAGCATGTTCCACAATCAACAAGCCTCTACAATGATGAAAAACAGACCTTAATCGCATAGTGATTTCCATCAACACGGCTTCGGTAAAGAACCTGTTGCATTTGCAAAGTCAAATGAATCAAATAAAATTCTTTTAAACAAGGTAAATGAGACCATCAAAAATAATCTTACCACTTTTCCATAGCTACCAGAACCAATCTTACACTCACGAACATACTCATTAACAATCTTGTTCCCATTTTCATCCTGATAATGAACCCGAAAACCAATATTACTTAAAAATATTAGAGACCAACACCAACCACGCCGACATTTCCAATATTAAAAGTTAGAATCTTGTTTTGTGAAATACAAATATGTGAGGGAAAGCACAAGCACACATCCAAAATATAGACCCAAAAAAGGCATAAATGCATCCACCAACTTCAATATACCAATATACATATACAGCCTTTGTCCTCACTAGTGCATTGAGAATAAAATGAAATTTAAATAACAATAAACCATCAGGTAGCATCACCAAAATACACAGAGAACCATGCTGAGCTTTAAATAAAAAGAGACCAATAAAATAAAATTTACGCAGGTGTCTGACTTCATGGCAATGTTAATATTTCAGTGTTTCTCACGTCATAATCAAAAGTTAATTGATATGGTTAAGCAAGACAGTTCCAGGAAAAAGTGGTAGTCAGCTTGATAAAAAGAAGCTTGCATGACCTTCTTCCGGTAAGAAATTCTTAAAGGAACTCATACTGTTCAAAGGCACACCGACATTTATGGGCTAGATAAAATAGAAGAGAAACTAAATTATTTTGGCAATCTCCTAGCCAATGTATAATATTCATTTTAAATCAAACCCAGACAACATAAGCCTAATTGGTCGATCATGGACAACCAATTTAAATACTAAACAAGTTACTATTTGTTATAGGTTCTTTGATGCATGCACATCTATGACATCCAACCAAGATATATAAAGATAGGTTAAAACTTCAAATTGCTGAACTGCGCCAAGATATATAAAGATAGTTCAAAATTACAAATTGCTGAACTGGACAGTAAAAGAGTTTCTTGAAGGAACAGTAAATAGAATCTAAAATTGATTCAACTAATTACCTCTGAGCGAATGAGCTTGTGGGTTTCCTTGACAGGAACTTCCCTGCAAATCAACCCATTTTGAGTTCGGTACATAAGAATCTCTTCAGAACGTTTGGCGGGACTTCGCAACTCACCATCATCTCCATTTCCAGTATCAGTTCCATCACCATTATACGAACAATCATCTTCATCTTCTAGCTCTTCATTCAACAACAACTCCTGTGAAATATAATTGCGAGAGACTACATCGGGCCTCAATGTCCTTCTGGGCTTCCTTGCAAATGTGAATCCAAAACAACCACAGCAGCCCATCTCCGATACTCTCTGAATAGAATTGCTCTTACTAAACATGAGAAAGTTGAATTTTTGAGTAACAATTTATAACTTACAGCCAGAAATAACAAGACTGATACCAAAACCTGAAAGAACAATACACCCTCATATTAATGTCAAAAGTAAAAAAAATAACACAACACAAATAACCCACAACAAAAGTACTTTTCATGACCTAATTCATTTAACAGGCCAAATTTGATGATAAGTATCTGTGTGTGTGTGTATACTGTGTACATACATACATAAATATATATATGCACCATACATACATAAATATATATATGCACCTAGTTTAAGAAGGAAAGGTGTGGGCTTCAAGAGCCAGTCAACTTGGCTATTCTAATGGATGCCATTCAGAAAAATGAAAGAAACAGTTGATCACATTGATACGATTCCGATTCAACGCCAACATCACGAGAACTCCAGTTTATAACAACCAATGCAGGCCACTCTTTACCCCTGAAAGAACACCTTGACCTTTTCTGCCAGATAAAATAAAATAAAATCAGCAATTAAAAATTAAAAAAAAAAAAAAAAAACCAATGTTATATAATATACAGATTTCAATAGAAGACAAATCACATCTAGAACTTGACGACATCACGGCACGAGTGACTAATGAAACAATGAAATTGAGACAGTTTATAACAACACACAATCGTTGAAAATATTGAATTACCTAACTTCCGTTCAATGACGGAAGCAATTTGAAAACCCTATCTCCATTGAAAAGATTCAACGACTTTTTTGGGAGGATGGGTCAAAAATCAAACAAGCTCAATCAGGAGAGAACCGAAATATAATTAACAAATGAACAAACAATTGGGGGTTTCAAAATGCAAACTTCGATCCAAATCCCATGAATTTGAAACAAAGCTAGCTGAATGGGAAGTGGAAACCCTAAACCGCCTACGCAAGGGAGAGACGGTTTAGGAGAGAGAGAGGGGGGTGCAGGGAAAGGGAGAAGAAAGAAAAACCCTAGATTGGGGGGTTTATGGCTGTGCGGCGAGGATTTGGGCGGTGGAATCAACTGTGGGATTGAGAGACTTTTGGGGGTGTCCGTTGGGACTGATCGACAGATTTGGAATTCAGATTTCCTTTTTTCGGGTCCGATGTAGTTGTACGGTGTGTGTACCGTGTGTGTCAGTGTATGGGCCTGTGTGGAGACGGACAAATAACGAAGGAGAGGTGGACCCGACTCGCAGAATCCTAATAAGCCGGGCCAACGCTAGAGAGAGAAATTGTTTTTTTTTTTTTTTTTTCTTTCTTCCTTTCTTTTCGGAAGGTGAGAAATTGTTCCTTCCCGTATGGAGGGTGTGGCAAGGGTATAAATGGAATAACAACTTTGTACGCATGACGTGGCAAGCAGTGACGGTTTGCCTTTACATAGTATGTAAAGTTAGGGGTAGGGATGGCAGCAGGGCAGGTATATCCTTCTCCGTCCCCACAACCGTTTAAAAACTTCGCTTCCGTTCTCTCCCAAAGTCGTAAAAACGGGAGAATTTTCTACCACATTCCCGTAACCATTTAACATTTTTACCTCGTGAGTATCTATTCCACCCCGTTTAAGACCATAATTTATTTATTGTTGAAATAGATTTGTTCTTTTTTTTTTTTTCTCCTCATCTTCAATTCTTCACCATTACAAATTTCCTTTTAATCAAATTCATTTATGACTTTAATATATAGTATGAAATATATATACAAATGAAATAAGGGTACTTAAGTAATTTGCCTATTTAAACGGGGCAATACGGGGCGACCTTCATCCTCCCCCGTACTAAACACGCAACGATTTTTATTACATCAAATCATTCCCGCCCAAATAAGCAAAACAGTTTCCTAAAATCGTCAAAAACGGTGCACTATGGGGGGTAACCGCGGAGGCGAATCAAATTGGCATCCCTAGTTATGGGTGAAGTGCAAAAAAAACACTTGTAATTTTTAAAATGTGCAAAAAAAACACTTTTTGTGTTCAACTCAAGTGTGCTAAAAACACCCTTTGTATTCAAATTCTACTACCGGTATAATATGTAAATTGAGCAAATAAGTAATTTTTAGCAAGTAAATAATATCATATATGCAAAAAGACTAAAATACCCTCCACATTTCTCATAACAAAAATAATACTAATAAAAAATATCTAGAGGTGGAAATTACCTCAAAGGTCATATTTGTAAGGACATCGTTTTATCAAGTTAACCGCCCATCGCCATCACTTGGCAAAACACAAACCACCCTCCTCCTCTGAAACCTTAAAAACCAAACCACCACCACCACCGTCCCAGCATACCCTCTGAAACCCTAAAATCCAAACCACCACCACTGTCTTGACTCCCAACACACCTTCTGAAACCCTAAAAACCAAACCACCGCCACAATCTAGCACTCCCATCATCAACGACAATAACAACAAAATCAACTAAAATGGTCAAATTGGTGTTTCCATCTCCTTTCAACAAAATCAACTAAAATGGTCAAATTGGTGTTTCTATCTCCTTTTTCTTTTTCATCCTTTACAATCAAATTGGCAAATTCTATGATATAGAGGTGCGTACAATTGCTATGACATATATATATATGTATATGTATATATAAAGCAGTTTATTTTTGATCGTTGACACATAATACTAATCTTTTGCATTAGAATAAAGCCAAAGATTGCATCAATGGTGATTGGGGTTAAAGATGAAACATAAAATAGGTGCTGAATCATTAAAGGAGTTCGTGCTCTGCTTTCCATCCTCATCTTCTTATCTCAACAAATCCGATCAACCCAACACCAAATCTGATTAACAGCCATTGCAAGACAAAACATCTTCAAATTCTTTTGTGGGAAGAGCCAATCGCAACTGTTAACAATCTATTATATACACACACACACTCACGTATAGATGAATTTATCTCCCCCAAGCTTTCTCTCTCTACAACTTAGTTTTCCAACTGAAAAAGTGCAACCGGTGCCATCTTTATCACGGGTAAGTCATGAATGTCTCATTATGGGATCTAAATTGTCCATTCAGTCAAATGCAAAAGTGTGGAATTTGAGGGCTTTGGTGTTTTGATGTTTTTTTATGTGATTTCTAATTGTTTAGTTTTTGGATTTTTTTGTTCGGTGTCGGCTTTTTATTTTTCAAAGGAAGTAAGGGTTAAAGTTTTGAGACTACTGCTGACTAACAAAAAAAAAAAAAAAAATTTGATTCAATTCAAATACTTTTGATATATATATATATATATAAATAAACTTATCCTTACTACTTCTTAGCCCTAGATAATGAATGTAAAAGTCGATCACTGACTATGGATTGCGGCACGTAGTGTATAGTCATATAATGGCTTTTCTTATTGAGAATAGAAGGGCAATTTGGAAAGTTTAGAAGGGTAAAATTGATATAAAATAGGCTTTTTTGATCACATGACCTGCACATGATATCTTTTGACGTCAGAAGTCTTTATTTGTTCAATTTACATACTACATGGTAAATTTGAACACAGATAGTGTTATTTACACACTTTTAAACTTATGTGTGTTTTTTGCACTTCAGCCATAAAGTTAGTAGTATTTTTGTATAAAAATTCCACTGGACATTAAAAAACAATTAAGCTAATAATGTAATGATTAATGAAAATAGTGTGGGCACATAATTGATTGGTAGAACTATTGAATATTAAAGTTTTTTTTAGATATTTTTATACTTCCATGGGTTTGTTCCCTAATTTTCATCTCATTCTTTGGTAAGATAGAGAATATTATGTTCAAGGAGTTAAAAATATCTTTCAAATTTTTTATTTTTTATTTTCTTATAGTTTAAGGATTTCCTTTCCTTTTTTCAAATTTCAAAGTATTATTTTATCACTTAATGTATCATGACTAATTGTGGCGAACAATACAAATGATTGGTATTGCTCGTATAGGGACGGACTTAAAGAGGATTTTTTTTTTATTTTTTTTTTTATTTTTGAAGCATTAAGTAGTTTTAAGTTTCCTTATTTTCAGTTAATTTTTTTTTTTTTTGAACAATACAAATGATCGGTATTGCTCGTATAGGGACGGACTTAAAGAGGATTTTTTTTTATTTTTTTTTATTTTTGAAGCATTAAGTAGTTTTAAGTTTCCTTATTTTCAGTTTTTTTTAAAAAAAAAAAAAAAAAAAAAATCACTTTTGCTCCTCTCACTCAATATCTTGGTTCCATCCCTGCACGTGTACAACGAGCACAGGTGACTCTTATAACCTAGTGCATAATGCATCGAACATATCAAATATATTCTCGCAGTATTGAATGAAATGTCGTATGACAATTGGTTGATTTTATAAGCCAAAATTGAACCGTTGAAATTGTGAAACTAAATCGAACTGATGGGTTCTATCCATGGTTCTGGAGATTAGTAGTAGAAACTTGTGCAGCTATCATGACATGTGATTGCATTTGCTCTATCCTATAGTTTCATTGCCTATTTTCTCTTCTTTTTAAAAATGCTTTTTCAGTAAGCATGAGACTCAAATTATGTAGTATAGTGGCAAGAAGTCTGTGCATGTATTATCTGTGCATGTATTAAAAAACAAAGAACAAACTTTACACATGTGAAAAAATTATATAAATTAACCAAAAAACCACACCATGATATAAAGAGAGTTAAGAGTTCAGTTGAATTTTAATGTATTCAAACCAATATCGTACCGTAAGTTTTGCAAAACGGGACCGAACCAAAGATATATATACATATTGATGCACGTCATCAAAAAAAATTATACTTTTTTTGAGATTATTAAAAATATATATATATGTATATATATTACAAATAATTAATTAACAACTTGTTTTGAGTAATTGAAATTTTATATATTTATGAAGTCAGATGCATTGTATTTTTACACATTTATTGATAAGAAACAAGATTCTAAGATTCAAGTTTAAAGAGTTAGAGTTTCTCATAATAAGAAATAAATATTACTTTTAAATAAATATTAAAATTTACATTTAGCAATTAGACATAATTATAAATTACAACGACATAATCATATTCAAATAGAATAGAAGAAATAACTAAAAAAATCTTTTTAAATTGAAACCTAAAAATAGAACGGCAAAATAAATTTAAAAAATCATAATAAAATAGAATAGAGGAAATAATAAAAATAAAAATAGAACTTAATCAAAAACCCTAATTTGGATTAAAAAAAAAAAATTATGGACAAACGCAAAATCAATAAAATCGTACAATGTACATTATAATTGCAATTTCCATTAAAAAATTTCAAACGTGCAAAAACAAAAAACAAAAAACAAAAAACAAAAAACAAAAAAAAAAAACAATAAGGTTTATTAAATAAGACTAAATAACTTAGAGAAATTGTATAATCATACTCCAATAGAATAGAACAAATAATTATTTAAAAAAAAAATTTCTTAAATTGAAACCTCAAAAAATAATAATAAAAGTAAAATCAATAGAACCATAATCAAATAGAATGAAAGAAAATATGAAAAATAAGGAAAAAGAAACTTAATCAAAAATCCTAAACTGGACAGACCTAATCCATCAAATTCTACAAGAAAAAAAAAAAAAATCAAGAAATAAGGATAAAGATGAAATCAATAAAATCGTACAATTAAAACCAAACAACTTAGAGAAATTGTAAAAAAATTGACATGCACAGGGGTCATCCTCCAATATACATAATAATTGTAATTCCCATTAAGAATTTTCAAACATGCAAAAAAACTAAATGATAAGATTTATTAAATGATAAGAAACAACTTAGAGAAATGGTTAAAAAAAATGACATGCACGAGGTGATCATACAATATACATAATAGCCGTAATGCCCATTAAGAATTTTCAAACATGAAAAAAAAAAAAAAAAAAAAAACTAATGATAAGATTTATTAAATAAAATGGAACAACTTAGAGAAATGGTTAAAAAAAATGACATGCACAAGGTGATCATACAATATACATAATAGCCGTAATTCCCATTAAGAATTTTCAAACGTGAAAAAAAAAAAACTAATGATAAGATTTATTAAATAAAATGGAACAACTTAAAGAAATTGTAAAAAATTGACATGCACAGGGATTCAAACAGGGAAAAAAACCTTGATATTTAATAAGATTAAAAAAAAAAAAAAACAGACCTTTTTGTGCAGATCCACTATCTCCAGTGCTCCTGTAGGGCTTTGCTCTTAGCCTCGCACTCTTCTTTCTTCTAGTTT